ATACATGTTAAAGAAAAAAGTGATTGCTTTCAAAGCAAGAATTCAATAGTAAAACTTAACCAAGATACTACAAATTGCTGCAGCCAGAATTAGATATTTGATATATGCAAGCTAAAAGACCATAAAAAGGAAATAAGAAGTACATCCTAGAAATAAACAATGAACAAGTTGGTGTCCATATTTATTTGATCATCTAGAAAGTCATATGACAGAACAAGGAAACTAAATTTCTTGACTTTGCTTTTTTCTTTTTAGAGTCTGAGAGTAAGACTGTCCATTGCTACATTTTATACCTTTTCTCTGGTTGCCGGTTTTTCGGAGGCTCAGAAGGTATAGATAAAGCAGTCCTCAGTGGTGTTTTATTGGGTGGCGGTACAGGCGGTGCCATACGATGAGAGATCGTAGACCTTCCGGCTGATGTTGATCGAACTGTTGGTGCTTCCTCTACCAAGTTCCGTGCTAACTAGTGTCAAAGTATCATCAGATATTTCCGGTGAGCTTTCCACATAGACTGGTAAAATGATACATCTAGTTTGGAGTTTAACATTAGCAATTGAAGCAAAAAATATTCTTAGATTAACCATAATCCACGCTATTATTTTGATTTTATTAACTTTATACTAATACAAATCTTAATAGACAAATTTAAAATCCTAATTTAGAAATAATAATAATAATAATAATAATAATATAGCAACAGAATTTACGGCACAGTGCAACTAAAATCAATTTTGTGCCGCATCGTACTCAAAGATCAAATGCGATCTTATTCTTCGCATCTATTAGCATTCTCCTAAAACCAATTCTTGTGCAACAGAATTTAAGCCATAAAGGAACTGCAATAAACTTTGCGCCGCATCGAACTCAAAGATCAAATCCTATCTCAAAGAAAAAGCAAACGACTAAAACACAGAACAGTAAAAGTTCAGCAAATGGAGTAAACTTACGGCATGTGAAGGAGATCTCCCAATCCTCGTAGAGTTAAGAGCGGCTTTATTACCGGCACCGCCAGCTGTAGCAGCGGCGTTAACTTTTCTAGACATAGCGAGAGGAGGCGGAGCACTATACTTAAAACCTAGATCGTCGCCGTCATCTTCTTCATCGTCGTCATCAGTGGTTTGCGATGCCATGACCTGAGCCAGCCGCTGAGCCGCAGCTTTCGCGGCGAAGTTTTGCGTGCGCTTGATGCTGGAAATGCCAGTGGCGGAGGAAGAACGGGCGTGGTGCGGTGGGTGATGCGCCGGCGATAATGTAGGTGACTCGACACTGCCGCCGGTGCTCCCCGTGCCCGAATGACTAGTCCATCGGCGCGTGTAGACGGGACTCTCTGTTCGCTTCCGGTCCATCAAACCGAAGTTGCTAAAATTGGATCTTATTCAGCTTGATTTATTTGTAATAACAATAAATAATGTTATAATTCAGAAGAAAATGAGTGAAAAGAGGAAGGCAAGCCTAGATCTTGGTTAAAGGGGAAGTAGTAAGACGGAAGATAAATATGTTTTGAGATTTAGAGTTTTAGACGGAGATTTTTTTGCATTTTATTTTTATAATTTAAAGTTTATCCCTTCCGTCATCTGCTGCATTTATATAATCGGGTATTTAGGGTAAATTTTATGTTTAACACCTCAACTATAACTTTTTCCGTTTTGGTCACTAAACTATTTTTTGTTTTAAAATCATACCTAATATTACATTTTAGTTTCATTTTTGTCATCCACCGTTAAAAAATAAACGGTTTTGTTGATGTGTCACAATAAGGTAGTGCCACATCATCATTGAAATTATTTTTTTATAAATTTCATGTCAATAGTTCTATTATTTTTTTAACGGTGAATGACTAAAATAAAATTAAAACGTAACGTTAGGTATGATTTAAAAAAATAATCCAATTGTCAAAACGAAACAAAAATGATAACTGAGATAATAAACGTATAGTTTGAGTCTATTTAATTAATTAAAATTCTTTATGAATCTATAAAATTCTTTATGATGTCTGTAGATTTAAATACATAAATCTAAACGTTGTTAAGAATTTCCATGGTGATTTGATTACTATACTTAGAGATGAACATGGTTTAAATGGGAAGAAGAAGACTACAACTTTGGAACTTATACAATGGTAAATAACTTTGATCACTAGTGTTTTGTTGGAAGTCACCCCAGTCATTTGTACGCTCGGTTGTCAAAAGTTTAATATCTCAACTATTATTTATGTTTTGTTTTGGTCACTCAACTATTTTTTTTTAAATCATACTAATATTTTATTTTGGTTATATGTTGTTAAAATTTAATATTGATGTTGATGTGTCACCACAAGGTAAAACCATGCCATCATTAAAAAATAAAAAATGTCATGTCAATAGTTCTGTTGATTTTTTAACGGTAGATGACTAAAATATAAATTTAGGTATGATTTTTGAAGAAAAAAATAGTTGGGTGACCAAAATGAAAAAAATGACAGTTGGGATACTAAGCTTGTAGTTTACCCTTTAATTTTGACATAATGATAAAAATACCCCTCAACGTTTGCACAAAAAGGTTACTTTGCACCGTATTCTTTTATTTTGGAACATTTTATCCCATAATGTTTCAATTTTGGTTAAAACTTTTAGTTACCTAACGGTCAAACCATGTTGATGACTTAATATGTACCACATCACCTAATATCATGTCAACAATATTAATTGATAGTTAATTAACTAACGATTTCCATCTAACATGATCTGTTTTAATAAAAAATTAAAACGTTTGTGAGTAAAATGCTTCAAAATAATAAGATATAAAACGATCATTTATACAAAACATTGAGACTAATTTTGTCATTATGCCTTCGCTCCTTCGATTTTTGTGTTGGTGTTTTTCCGGAGGGAAATTGACTCGTATGTGGGTAAATAAACATGATGAGAGGAAACGGCATGTTTTGATAATGTGGCTTTTAAAAATAGCATAATTTTAGTACATTATGCCATATCAATGTACATATTCATCCATATGTTCAATCAAATCGGTGAAAAGCTGACGTGAGAAACTAAACTTTGGGATATTGCTATTAATGTGGACCGGTAAAGCAAAAGAACTCATTGATATCCGGTAGAATAAAAGCTAATGAATAATAAGAAAGTGAATAGCTATTATAATTTATAATTTTAAGCTAAGTTTTAATGTCTTTACTTTCAAAGATATGAATCTTATTGAAATTTATTCAAACACAATATCACAATTTTATCAAAAGTTATACTAAATTCAAGTTTGGAATATAACTTTCTCTAGATTCGAGTTAATTTTGATAATTAAAATTTTGTTTATTTGAATTTAGATGTTTGGGTAAGTACTGTAACTAGTAGTTTTTGTTATATTTTAATCATATTCGGATTGAAAAATGATAGAATTATAAATCTATCAAGGGATTTAAGTTGTAAAAAGGAATATTATTCTCCCTTCAAGTTCTGGGTTCGAGCAGCGTAAAAAAAACTATTATTTTCTTTAAAGATTTTAAGTTAAAGCAATCAGGTCTACAAATAAATATGCTTAATTAATTAAAAAAATGTTAAATAAATACTAGATTATAATCATTCTAGATTATTAGAAAAATCAATCTTTTAAAGATAAGAAGAATTTCAACAGCTCTTTGCATCGGAAACTATGGGAATTTGCTTAACAGTTTACGGTTCTCATGGGAATGTTGTTAATACTTTAGATTTAGTAGAATTGTATATTAGGGAGGAAAATACAGAAGGAAAATATCAAATAAATTGCCTAAATATCCTCAACGAAATAATAATCTCTAGCAATCACTTCGTTTCAGATTTTTTTTCTCTTTTCATTTTATTTTAAATTCTTTTACCAATATTTTTGAAATCGGAACAAGAGTACGATAATAAGTTTTAAGTTATTTATTTATAAATCTTTTAATTATTTTTATGTTGTTCTTAATGAATTATTGATTCATGATGATGGTGCATGAGATTTCTGTAGTGATTATATATCAAATATGATCTCTTTATTATTATAAAACGCTTGCTTTAGTATCTCTTGACTCAATAATACTGATTCAATTAAAAGTTAATAAAAAGCTTAAAGAGAATTAATTTAAGAAATTTAAAATAAATAATATAAAATTTATTATTTTTATTTTCTAGAAAATCTCTCAACATAATTTATTATATATTTATTTTTAGAAAAATGATTCTCCATGATATAAGCTGTATAGTTTGATTCTATTTTGACTTTCCAGGGGGGAAAGTTGATTATTAGTTATTATATTATGTGTAAATTTTGAATTTGATTTATATATAATAATTGGTCAATTTACTTTTTTTTTGAATTTGATATAAGTAGTATCTAAGTATTCTCAACTATTTAACAATAAATGTTCAGTCACCTTTGTAGTCGCAGGTGTTCGAATCTATAACTTATAGAAATAATAGCGATTTCTTAACCACGAAGGTATGTTAATTCGTTCTAATCTTTGTATTCTTAAATTTAGTAATTTTAGTTCCAATCTATATAATAAAAAATAAGATAATTAAACTAGACGAACTTATAATGATAAAATTTGAATAATAATTTTTTTGGTGAAATTAAACATTCTTTATAACATTAGCCGCTAATGACATCATGAAATATCACAAGGCGATTCATAAGCAGCAAGATGAAAACCAACAATGGAAAGATCAAGATGTGAGTTGGCCAACCACTTTCGCGACATGGCTTTCTAAAAAAACTTGGTTGTACTGAAGTTCAGTTACTAATTGCAGCCCATGTGTAATAGTAATGACTTCTGCAATCCCAACATCACAAATATATATATAATTTTGACTTCTCCGGGTGCTCCTCTTCAGAATCAAAAGAAACCTAGCAGCGGTCATGATTTGACTTCTCCGGATTCTGTCTCCAGATACCCTTTACATATTTGTTTCCAATCCTTAATTTTGCTTGAGTTTGCTTTTAGAAAGCAGCTGAGATCGCGTTATATATATATATAATTTGCCAGTGCCAGTGATTGTAGTTCTACAAATCCATTGTCACGCCAAAAACATACGATTCATCAAGACCAAGTTGCTCAAATCCCATCTGGGTCCAACGGGGTTCCTGCAAACCCTGTTGATTCAAACTTTGATATCTCCGATCCAAATGCAAATGCCCGAGTTCCAGTACAAGAACTTGTTCAGGAACCTGGTTATATGTTACAGCAACCCTAATTTGATCAACAGTTGCAGCAACAGCAGCAACAACAACAAGTTCAGGATTCTTGTTATATATTGCAGTAATCCCAATTTGATCAATAGTTGCAGAAGCAACAGCAGCAACAACTAGTTCAGGATTCTAGTTATATATTGTAGCAACCCCAAGTCGATCAACAGTTGCAGCAGCAGAAGCAACAACTAGTTCCGGATTCTGGTTATTTATTGCAGCAACTCCAATTTGAACTAAAACAGCAGCAACAACAAGAAGTACTACTTCAGGATCCTGGTTATATATTGCGGCAAGCCCAATTTGATCAACAGTTTCTGCAGCAGCGGAAGCAGCTAGTTCAGGATTCTGGTTATATATTGCCGCAAACCCAATTTGATCAACAGTTGCAAGAACAATCTCCACCACAATTCTTACATACTGGTGCAGCACATTTTACTCATCATCACCCTGTTGGGGCTGTTCCAATCTCAGCTTATTACCTTGTACATCATTCCAAACAACATCATCATGCTCAAATTGATCAGAAATATCCCCCTCTATTATGTGCCGACAATGCAAGCCCAAGCTTACAACTTGCCTGTCCAGCAACTTTGTATGAATGAAGGCACTAACGCAATCCCATCTAGCCATCCACAAACTCCTCCCAATCTGACATTCAACCGTCTGAGAATGCTTCTATTGCCAATCCTGAAATGGCTGCTGCCACAAGAGCATTCGGAACATCAGCTACTGGTACTCCGCAACTGGTTCAAGTCCCAAACAATCAGCAACAGTATGTCCATTACTCTCAGATTCATCATCCATCACAAACTGTTGCACCTACCTCTGCTGCGGCTGCCACATATGCTTATGAATTCACAGATCCTGCTAATGCTCAGATGTACTCCACTCAGCATCTGGCACTCACGATGCCTTCTCATTTCCAAACCATGACCGGAGCTACTTCAGTAGTTTTGCCAGATTCATCTGCTCAACTGTTCGACAGATAACGTCAATCAACAGATCATGACTTCACAGCCAATGTAAATCAGTCAAGAAGAAAGCAATAACAATTTTGAAAGAAGGGTTTGTATTTTTTAATCTCTGTTTTAATGTCTGCTTTGTTAGCGGTATTGGTTTTCTGATATGTATTTGTGAAGGATAATAAGGAACGCAGATGGTATTTTCTATCTCGTGTGTTTCGCTTTGATATGTCATATAGGAAACAAAAGTCTATCTGAAGATTTCATTGTAAAAGCTTATACTCAATATTGGGTATGCAGAGACATGTACTGGCAAGTAAAATTCTTGCTAGACGCTCCTTTATGATCAATCCATTATTGGGCAAGTTTTCGTGAAGAATGGGCTCGATACCGATGGAATGTTGAAGTCTCTACCCAAAACAAGATTCGAGGCCAAGTGACTGAAACCAGAAGACATTCTATCTCTCTGTTTGATTTTGCAAAGTTGCCATTTCAGTTCAAGTGCTAAAGACATTCATGAGGATCCCTGCCTGCTCTTATCGACCCTTTCACTCCGATTTTGCCTCAACAGGTTTTCTGGTCAATAAAATCTCTTTATTGCTGCAAATTCCTGGTTTCTTGTCATGAAATCTTATAGTTTTTACCGATATATGCACAGTTGATTTGTTTCATTCTTAGGAGTCTGCAGAAGATTCATTTCATTTATATAGATTGTTTTATTGGTTTGAGATGTGACCACTCTTTAGTACAGTATATATTCTTTTCCTTCTTCATGTATGTTTTCTTGATAACATTAATTATTTCAACTATGTAATTTACCAAATCTAGTTTATTGGTCGGATGTCTCATAATTTTCAACTTCCAAAAGTAAAAAATAAAGGGAAAATACAGGGAAAGAGAGGCACATTAAAAAAACACCATCAAAATAATTATTTATTGAATTGATACAGTTAGCCAATTATTAGCAATATACACTCTTTCGTTGACTTTGTATGCCGTGTAGGGAAAATTCACGGCCTATATCATGCATATAGAAAATGCGGTTGATATGCATCTTTGTTCTACGTGGCACGTTCAGTAAATATCAAGGTATGGTTTTATTCTTTAAAGTGAATGGCGTGACCGACAAAACGGCAAAACTGCCCAAATATTGCAGAATCTTTAATTCCCAAGATAGTGTCATCAGCTTATTATTTCTCACAATAGGGTGATTGTTATAGGAAACATGCAAAGCTCGGCGTCTTCAGCTTTGATGGAGCTCTCGGCGTCTTCAGCAGATGTGCATTTGGAGCTCTCGACGTCTTTGTGTCTTCAACGTGGGGACTAGCTTTGTTATGTTTGGTAGCAGGAAGTTTGCAGCAAAATAAGGAATTCATGAGAAGAATAATGCACGTGGGGACCAGCTTTGTTATGTTTGGTAGCATGATGTTTGCAGGAAAATAAGGAAATCATGGGAAGAATAATGCACGTGGGGACGGGAATAAGATGTAAAACAAACCAAATTTTGATAAAAGTGAATCAATAATTGATTATAAGGGCATAAAATAATACTTATCTGATTTAAAACAAATCAAAAGCAAAAAAATATGATTGAAAACAAAGCAAAAGTAAAATAAAGGGTATTGAATTGCATGCATAAATTACGTTTACAAAAGGAAATTAATAATGCATGAGTACGGATCAAAAGCAATTATCAATCAATGGAGACATTGTGAAGCAACAATGCATCGAATATGATATATAAAATGGAGGATAACTGAGTTCAGGGAGAAGTTAGAAAAGAAGAGAAGAGAAGCTTGCATGTTCGAGAGTTATTTTGGGAAAAAAAAGAGAAAAAAGTTCAAATAAAGGAAGAAATAAATCGAATATTTGGTAAGTTTTATGTAATTTTTATAATTGTTACATGATTATAATTTTAAATAGAAATTAATTAGATTGATTTTTTTTATTTTAAAGAATGAACTATATTTTAGATTTTGTTATTGAGTAATATAAAATATGAGACTAGTTATTATGATGTAATAGAATTAACAAATTTTAAAGAATATTTTAACAAATTTGCAAGAATTTATAAATTTAGGGATTAAATTACAAAGTTTGAAAATGTTGAGAACCAAATAGTAATTAGGGATCATTTTATATTTGATGTTTATTTTTTTTATTAAAGCAGATAACATGCAATTGATTATTTGAATAAAACAATGTAATAATTGAGTGTAATATTTAATTTTTTTTGTCTAAATTTGTTGAAATATGACAGAAAAAATGTTCTTTTGAGGCTAGATGGTCGACACATTTCGAGTCATTTGGGAGAACTGGTAATATGATCGACTTATTTTTTTATTTGAGAACGGTGTATTAATTCTAATTACATTGATTAACAAATTGCAGGATGACGAACAACGAGTCCTTCGTCCTCGACTTATCAACTGTGAGATGCCAGATCAACGTATTGTTGATAATTTGAAAATAGTGGGTTTTTATGATGTTGCTTTTGTAAGAGAATTTCGGTTGATCCCCGTTTTGATAAGTGCATTAATTGAAAGGTGGAGACCAGAAACTCATACTTTTTATCTTCCATGTGGTGATGTACGATCACTTTGGAGGATGTGGCTTTACAACCAGGGGTTCCTACAAATGGAATGGCAGTGGTAGGAAATACCGATCTTGACGTGTTTGCAATATGTGAGCGTTACCTTGGGAAGGTACCAGACAAAGATATAGCAAAAGGGTCACGGCTGAGATTATCCTGGTTGGCAAATGAGTTTAAGCTAGATCCACAATGTAGTGAGCAAGACATTATATATGCAACTCGAGCATATATATTACGTTTGATCGGCGGAATCTTGATGCCAGATAAATCCAGTAATCTTGTCCATATACAATATCTTCCATTTTTGGAGAACTTCTTTATGACCCGTCAGTATAGCTGGGGATCAGCAATATTGGCATTCTTGTATCGCGAGATGTGCAAGGCGTCATTACTCGTTAATGATGCGTATACGACTGAAATCGGTGGATGCACGATGTTATTACAATCGTGGGCGTGGTACAGAATTCCATGGTTAACACCGATTAGCCGAACTGCAGTTGACTTTCCTCTTGCCGGAAGGTAATTTTATTGATTTAAAATATTTTATTTTAAATTAAATAAAGAATATTTTGTAAATGAAAAATAATTACAAAATTTTATTTTGATTGGTATACAGATGGAGGCATAAAATAGAAAGAACGAGGTTGGTACATAATAACGTGAAAGAGTTTAGGTTTAAGATTGACATCAAATGCAAAGTTGAGGTATATATAAAATTAATAAGCGAATTTATTTTTTATTATGTTTATATTATAATATTTTTATTTATTTATTTTGTTGATTTTTATAATTATTTAATTAAATAATAACTATATAATTTTATTTTATAGTTTATTTGGAGGCCGTACAATGATCAAGAAATTATGTCGTGCGTACCGCAACATGTCTGAGAGGGTTGTCAATATTGGTGTGCTGTTACACCATTGATCCATTTCATGTTTGTGGAGTTCCAATTTGCCGATATAGTATTGAGGTAATTCGGCTTCCACCAACCTATTCCAGTCATTCCAGAGAATCATGATGCTCTCCATCGATTAGATGAGCGGGGTAGGGTCGGTGAGGATTGGTCGGTGAGGCATGTCAACCATATCAATCATTGGAACAACAAGGGTTCATACTTGCCAACGCTCACTCTCATACAAGCGGATGACTTTGACTTCAAGAGTTCGGATTATCTTAATTATTTTTGGGAACATGGAAAGTCGTTCTTGACAACGATCAGAGAAAGACGACAATTTATAGAGTATACAAAAAAATTTGGTAAACCCGAGAAACCAAGAAGTCATTGGAGTGGGAGTTCTTCTCACCGTGTAGCAGAACAAGAGGCAATGGATAATATCCCACAAGAATCTTTTGATCACACAATATCATTTAGTCAAGTGGTTGGTGATTCTGGTGTTACGCCCTATACTCCTCAGATGGGAGAGCATAGTGTTGGTGGGCATATATTTACAACACCGGAACCTATGCCCTCTATGAATGAACATGCTGGTTATGATGAACAAACTCCTGAATAAGCGCAACGATCACAAAGAAACCGACGTGCGTCTCGACATTATTACACAACAACACCCCGACACCGTCAAGAGTTGTAATCCTTATTTAAATTATTTGTATCAAATTTAAGTAATTGAATCGAATATCATTACTATTATTAAATTATTAAACTTTAATCATTAAAGTTAAATAATTATTAATAAATCATTAAAGTTTAATTATTAAAGTGAATTAATTATTATTAAATCATTAAAGTTAAATAATTATTAATAAATCATTAAAGTTAAATTATTAAAGTGAAGTAATTATTATTAAATCATTAAAATTAAATCATTAAAGTTAAGTAATTATTATTAAAGTATTTAATTTAAATCATTAAAGTTAAATAATTATTATTAAAGTATTTAATTTAAATCATTAAAGTTAAATAATTATTATGAAATCATTAAAGTTAAATAATTATTATAAAATCATTAAATTTAAATGATTAAATTTAAATAATTATTATTAAATATATACTCGAGTAATTAAATCGAATATAATATACAAATTTATAAAATAATAAGATTACTGCTGAGGTCTGTACTGTGGAAGGTTTGGACAATTTCTTTTTGAATGACCTTCAGCTCTACATAATCCACATCTCTTCGGTTGGCCTTTCTCTCTAATATGGATATACATGCTGATATGAATACGAGTAGATTATAGTCGACCCTTCAGACTTCTACGAAGTAAGTAGTGGATTTGGCAACCATTCATCATTATCTCGATTATCCCAATAAGATTCATTTGGGATCGATATGAACTCATGGTTGTATATATTTAATATCTTCTGTAGGTGAAAACACTCATCAACATAAGTGTATGAATTGATTCCAGTATGCATACATGCAGCGACTGCATGAGCACACGGATATCTCCACGCCTGAAAGCGGCCACAATCACACCATCTTTGTCGTAAATTAACAGTAAATGATTCTCTATCTGCTACTTCGTTGCGACGTATGCATGCGATGACAACAAAAGTATGTCCAATTCGATCAAAGTCATGAACATACATTGAGGTTGCCGTACGCTCATTTTCTTACATTGCTTCTACCACCATCGGAGCCCAGATTTTACCGCGATTTATCAGACACTCGATCTCTTTGCCTTTATCAGACCAAACTTTAGCCAACCTAAAGTATGTCTCTTTCACCACACTCGCTATTGGGAGATGGCGTGTACCTTTTAGTACTGAATTAATGGCCTCAACAAGTTTTGTAGTCATGTGTCCGTATCTCCGACCACCATCGTATGATTGTGACCACTTCTCCCGCTCGATTTTCGATACCAGTTCCAAAAGCGCTCATCAATGGCCTTCAAATCCTCTAATATCTTGTCAAAATTTGGTTGTCGTAGTTCATATCCTGTTTCAAAATAGATATTGTGTTAAAGTAAACTTATAAAAAACACATAAATTGGTACAAATGCTTAAAATAAAACTTACCCATATTGTCTATCTCCCTACAAATTCGGCCGTTATGAAACTTCTCAATACAATTTTTACCAATATGACGGATACAATATGCGGGATATGCATGCGGAGGTGTCCAACGACTTCCCGATCGTTCAATTGCTGCCAAAATGCCTGATCCTCGATCGAATATCAAGGAAACTCCTTCTTCTCGGACGACATACTTACGTAGATTAGTCAGAAAAAAGTCCCAAGCCTTTGTTGTCTCTCCTTCAACGATAGCGAATGCAATTGGGAATATATTTCGTTGACCATCTTGCGCAACTGCTATCAATAATATATGTTTGTATTGACCGTATAACCACGTACCATCTACTTGGACCATACGTTTGCAAAATGGAAAACCTTCTATGCATGACTTGAATGCCCAAAAGAGTCTATGGAATATTTTCTTCCCATGAACAAGTTGACCTTCTCGGTTATATGCATGCATGGTCTGAGATTTCACTATAGTTCCAGGAATGAAATGTTTCATAGCTCGTAACAAATCAGGTAACTCATTGTATGATATCCAATCACCATATTAACTCCTTGCCTTCTCCTTCGCATGCCAAACGGGTTTGTATTTTACATTGTATCCGAACTGGTCTCGAATAGATGCAACCAACACCGAACAAGAGATCCTTGGATTTTGTGATGTCCCAAGCATCTTGCCTCTGTATTTTCGACACTCTAATCAGCCACTTACACTCAGGCCCATATTTAAAACACTTCGCGTACAAAGTTTTCTGGTTGGACTCTACAACCTTGAAATCTACATGGCCTATTATGCAATACTCTTTAATCGCTATTGTAGCTTCTTTTTTTCCTCTGTATTGGTTCCCAACTGATAATTCACCAGAGTTATCGGACGATTCACTCATGTAGCCTGAAGTTAAATGTGGCATCTCCGGGAATTCAGGTGCCCTCATTGCTTCATAATCAATCTCCTGCATGTGAGGGGTAAGTTGATACGACGAATATTCAACAATATTGATATCAACTTCATCACCATCGAACACGGCATCATCCTCAGCCAAAGGAGGTTCCTCATTTTCCTCATATTCACTGGAATCTTCAAGTATTTATTCCCAGCGGTTTTAAGCGTCATACTCTGCGGCTCCAGATACTCCACCTACTTCATTTTCACTTTCCAACATCGCCACAAAACTGCTGAAATGACTCTCAAAACCCATTTGAGATGAAGTTCCAACCGCATTTCTTGATGACCCAGGCACATTAGATATATTACACAACTCAACAAATAACTCAATAATTGGAATATTTGTTGAGTCATGTAATTCAACCATACTTATAATATCATCATCGTCTTCAAGTGGTACTGCAGCATACCTGACCGGATTGGGACATACCTTATAATCAATTATTGATTCACTTTATCAAAGTTTGGTTTGTTTTACATCTCATTCCCGTCCCCACGTGCATTATTCTTCCAATGATTTCCTTATTTTCCTGCAAACATCATGCTACCAAACATAACAAAACTGGTCCCCACGTGCATTATTCTTCCCATGAATTCCTTATTTTGCTGCAAACTTCCTGCTACCAAACATAACAAAGCTGGTCCCCACGTTGAAGACACAAAGACGCCGAGAGCTCCAAATGCACATCTGCTGAAGACGTCGAGATATCCAAGTTGAAGATGCCGAGAGCTCCATCAAAGCTGAAGACGCCGAGCTTTGCATGTTTTCTATAGCAATCATCCTATTGGGGGAAATAATAAGCTGATGACACTATCTTGGGAATTAAAGATTCCCATATGCAAGGGCAGTTTTGCCCCGACAAAACGTGTCTTTTATAAGTATCAATAAAGTGCGTTTTACATGGGAGCTAGGGATTACTCACCTAGAAGTTGAACTTGACAGCATGGAAGCTGTTCGTATTGTATACTGATGAAGCCGAAAGCTGGAAGGGGAGAGCCCTCAGTTGCGCTCCACATCCGTGAGATCCTGAAGAAAGAATGGACAGTAAGATTTCTCCGCACCCGAAGAGAAGGAGAATGGACAGTAAGATTTCTCCGCACCCGAAGAGAAGGCAACCAAATCGCAGATAAACTGGCCAAACTAGCAATCCCTATGGACGTGAGGTCCACTGCCTCGCTACGCCACCAACAGAGATAGCAAGGATGCTTCAGGAAGAGGAAGACTTGGCTTAACAGAATCCTCGTAGCTTGTCATTTAGTCACCCATAAAAAATAAAGTGCGTTTTAAAGCACGTGCTTTTGCCATTTGTTTTGGATTAAAACTTGAATCGAATTTCAAACTTAAATCATTAACTGTTAAACGCAAAAGCGCTGTATTTTTCATTTTAGTATTGCATGATTATTTTGCATATTATAAAGTGTATGTAGATGGGAAATAAAATTTCTACGATTATTTATCGATCAGATTCGTGATAAATCGTTTTTGAATCAATAAATTTTATTAACAACTCGTTTAAGAAGTAACTAAAACTGGTCAAGTTAATATATGAGATTTGAAGATAAGTTCAATTAATAATGACGAAAGAGAATGAAGCGAAGGTGACAATGAGCTTACATTATCATGTAACGATTTGAGAAGTCACTAAATGTTATTAGTGATACGAGTATAAGATATATATATATATATATATATATATATATATATTAAAATCGATAAAAATACAAAATATTATTATTTTATTTTTTCTAGTTTGACACTAAATATTATTACTATTCAAGTAGTCACACATAAGGATTTTCGGGTTAGTCGACGGTTATCTCATACAACCTCACACAATTATCAGCTCCGCATGAAGCAAGCTGGAGGCTTCTGCAATTTTCATTCTTCTCACGGTTCTTCCACGCCAAACGGTTAACTGCAGAAACATGGCACATGAAAGGATCGAGCCGGATGATCAGAGCAGCGGTCACACTTGGCGTTGAAATGCTGTCATCGCCTCTTTCGACATGAAGGCTCCAAATTTGAAGGAGTCCAGTTTCCATTCCGACTGCAAGAATACCGTGATTTCTTTGTCGGTCGAGACCAACCCAAGACAGGGCATTGACGCTGCTGTTGAACGGCGGTAAAGTCAGAAGCTGTTGAACTGTAGATGCTTTCTCCACCCCCCAAATCTTCACCGTCTTGTCCCTAGAACCCGTTGCGAATTCATGACCAAAAGGGTTCCACGAACATGTCCATATTATTCTTTTATGTGCCTCCCTCCTCTCCATAAGGTTGTAATCAACTTCATCCATGCCTACAGATAAAAAAAACTGACAGTCATATATAATCGACATTCAATTAATGTGAGTAAACAGTATTAGAACACAATTAGAAGATATCAGGGTACCTCCTCTATTGATTTTGAAAACAGAGAATTGGCGATCCCGCGAGACTGCCAAAAGAAGGCTGTCATCGTGAGAAAATTCCATCTGCGTCACTGTTAAGCTGTGAGACTGCAAACGACCGACAGCTTTCCATGAACCCACTTGCCATAACCATATATCGGCAACTGTTGCAGACTGGGCCTGCAAACGAAGTACACTATAAGAAACAATCGGAGGACTTCTGTATGATGGCTGATCACTTCAGCACTGCTAAACCAATGTCAGTCACATTGCGAACTCACATGACTTGTATGGTTTCATGATCAATGTGAAGAAAGACAACCCACCTTACCAAACCAATCGGAATTAAATTTCAAGTAAGCCAAGTGATAAGAAAGGCGCGTACCTTACACGATGAAGCAACGAGTTTTCCCTCATGATCACAGCATAAAGAAAAAAGCTCATTTCCATGACCATAGAGTTTATGTGATTCTGGCCACAATGTATGCCATGCAAGTTGATCCTCAATAGGAGGTTCAGTTAAAGCAACTGGAACAGCATCAGGAACCGATTCAAGAGTGTCAAGACCGTCATTTCCGGGATTATCATGGACCTCATGGGTTGCTGCAAGGAAAAAATTTCCTGTCAAATAATTTCCTTACAAATATAGAGGTAAGAAAGTTTCAGCCTCGAATGGAAACACAAAAAAAAAACGATAAGACCTGAGCACACAGTAACGCGATGAAAAGATGGGGTGTATCCCTAAGGATCTCGATGTTAGTTATTTACAAAACTAACCATTTACATAAATAGGCTTCTGTGATAGACCAAGAGCAGACATATTGGCACCCAAGACATGAACATCTGCTTGGAAGTCTTCGGGAAAACTTGACTGTTCTGAAGTAGCATGATGCAATGTCTTCAAGAAAGATAAAGGGGCTTCAAATACTCTGCCAACTTTCTCGTCTGCTCCACTAACAAAACGATGGTTCCCTTTCCCTTGAATGATAGTTGCACAATTAATATCATGCCCATGAACTTGAGGCCGAGCAATTTCATGCCAGGAGTCCTCATTAGACTGAGGATCTTGATTGTGCCATGGAGAAAAAATACGAGTTGTCTGAAACAAGAGATTCAAGCATCAACACTGCTGTTTAATTTCACAAAAGTTTTAAGGAATGCACATTAATTCTACTGCTATCTCAACCTCTCGCCTACATCTTTAACAAGGATGACATCTTACCTGATCATGACTTACTGACAGTATGTATTCACCACACCTTGCCCAACAGATATCCGTCACTACTGCAAAATGCCCAGAAGGTACTTTCTGTGGTTGCCAATTATCTGAGCTAACACCGACATTTTTCCACTTATGGAATTCACCACCAAATCCATGCGCCAAGATAGAACCTGCATCAGGGCTCCAATGGCCACCGTAAAAGCCTAAAGCACAATGGCTTAATTCCCCAACAGTGACAACATTCATCCAAATACCAGTTTTCCTCTCCGGTTGCCAGATCATCATTGTCTTATCCATCGATGCAGACAAGATGCTTTGGGGTTGATAGAAGCCAACCGCTTCTTCAGCAACCGCTGAAGGTGGTTGCCATTGTACCGAATATACCCAATCCTCATGTCCAATCAGAAGAGATTCCAAAGATATTTGGTAAGAGAATGAGCTGGCTACGAAAACAGGACCTTCAATATAAGATGCCAGGCTTATTTCGCCTCTTTTATGTGTACCCTCTGCGTCAGCTAGAGAACCTCGGAGAGTCAACTTCCATATGCGTATACCTTTGTCCTGAGATGAACTTACAAGTAGAATACTTTCGCTTTCACCACTAAATATAGGTAACGAGAAATCTAAACTCCTGATCCAATCTGTATGCCCTTTTACTTCACAAGCACGAACAAACTGCACATGCAAATTTAAAAATAAAAAGGATATTTTTATTTATTGGCCACAAAGAAATATTCAAGGGGGACCAGAAAACCCATGGTTGAAAAATATGGGGGATTATTGAGTATGCTGATTCATTTTAGAACGCATGGCCTTAGATAAAGAGAACCGAGAGAAATGATTATCTGTTGAATGTCAACCAATTTCGAATAAAAATATATATTGAGTTGATATCAATAGGAAATAAAGTATACATGAAAACAAACGGAAAAAAAATAAGAAGACGGTACCTTTCCAGTCCTCTTCCCACAATAAAGGTATATCTTGTTATCCAATCCCCCCATTGCCAGGGCTATAAGCCCTTCATTTCCGGGCAATTGTGCAAGTGAAAGTGTCACCATAGGTCTTGAGCCAACAATAAGAGTTTCCAGACATGTAATTTTACATTCACCTAGAGGAAATACAATCAAGGTTTCAACCGAATAACGTCACATTAACACATCTGTCTAAAACAAGATCTAAAGAAGATTACAAGTGATAACTAGCAATTTAGATGCAGAGGCAGAACCATAGTACTAAATTGCGGTTGCAGTCGCAGTGACCTTGAAAATCATTATGAAGTGGCCGTTAGACTGCATTGTGGCCGCAATTTAGTACTATGGGCAGCACATAACTATTTTTACAATTGTGGCAAGTCATAGAACAGTGGAAAGCAAAATATTTTACACTAACAATAGCTGCAAATGCAAAATGGTTAAACTAAGTTTCTTCAAACATTTGACTCACCCCCAGAAGTAGTTGGAAGCACAAAATCCCATACGCAAACAGTGCCATCAGAAGAAGAAGAAGCAAATATCGCATCGCTTTGAGAAACCATAAACGCAGCAATGCATGTTACGCCCTTCCTATGCGATTGCGGCAATTGCAAAACATGCCTCCACTGTAAAAAAAAATGGGTAAAGTAGGAAGAATCAACATAAAACAATCTTAACTATAAGATCCAATAAAAACTAACATGCCAAATGCTTTCAAATAATAGTTCCCATATAATCAATCTTAACAAGAGATTTGCAGAGTGAATACCTTAGTGTCAGCAACAGAAAGTTCCCATAGAATCATAGTACCATCAGCATCACCGGACAATAGATAATGCCGCTCTAAGTGTTTCGCTGGAAATAAACAACAGAAAAGAGTTCATTACCATACCAATAAATGGTTCAAATCCTCCCAAAGGCATTACAAAACACTGGAACTTTTTAACAACACTTTAGAATCAAAACAAACTTAACTCAGAAGAACTGTAAACCAAAATGAACAAATTACAAAACCCAAATTTGTTTTTCCTTCGCCTCATCATTCATAAAAAAACCAAGCAAAAACATGTTCCAATTTGATAAATTTATATATCCTTTTGCAAATAAAACAATAGAATCAAAACTGCACCTTTGAATGCAAACTTGTTACTTGGAAGCCAATGGGTGCAGTTCACAACTGCCTTATGACCCGGAAGTGTTGTCAAAATCTGAGCAGACTGCAATACATATACAAAGACAAGTAAGAAGAAGCTTTTGATCAAATAACACATGGATGGCCAGAAGAAGATAAAGGAGGAACCTTGGGACAGAAAATAGCGACAGCATTTTGGGAACCGAAAGAGACCAAATCAGAAGCACCCCACGAAACGTTGTTGACTATTCTGTTGCAACCTGCTGCTATGAACAAGTTTTTTGCTTCTGCTTTACTGACATTAACAGACATTTTTAGAAAACAAAAATGGGGTAAAAAAGAGAATGAAAAGGGAGGAAGAGAGAGAGGGCGGCAACTAAAACTGTTGAGTTCAGCTCTGCCCACTGCCCAGTATAGCTTTCTTTAGTTCGTATGGCAAAGGAGGTTCGGAAGGTTTTAGGGTTTTGGAAAGAGAAACTGAATTAAGGCGAGTTAACGTAATTTAACATTTGGGTAATTCGACACAAATATCCTTAAACTATTGCTTATATTTTCAAATAATCTATAAACATCTAAATTGCTTCAATCTAATCCTCACAATTTCAACATTTTATCTATTTTATCGTATGTATCATCAATCGCTAATTATTTGAAGTATAAATTTATTAAATATTTTTATTTTATATTAATTAAATATTTAAATAGTGTTATATATATTTAAATAATATTTTAATATATTTTTATTAGTATTATATTTATTATTTATAATGTCTTTAATATTATTTTTATACATGCTATCTAAATATCTAGCTCATGACGTAAATTTAATTAAGATAATATAAATTTGATTAAAATTTGAGCTTTATTTTTCATAAGAAGTTTGATTTGCAAGTTTATGATAATGAAAGCAATTATAAGTTACTCAGTTTAGTTCAATAATAAACATGTTAAAACTCAAAATTTTAGAATTACCTTACTTTAAATTATCCAATTACTAAAAAATAACATTGTTATTGAAAATTAAAATTATATAATATATACCATAATAAAAATAAATATAAGATACTTACTTATATAATTTTTTAATCATTGTTTAGTATATTGATTATATTAATAATATATTAAATTTAAATTTTATTTGTAAAATATAGATAATGTAACGAAAATAATTTTTATAAATTTTCATGTAAATGTTTTTAATTTAATATTATAAATTTTTAAGTTGTTAAATATTTTTATGTAAATATTTTATATTCTTCAAATTAAATACGGTAGTTTTACATCCTATCAAATAAATTAAATAAGATAATGTATCAATTAATGTTATATTATGAAAATCTTATTCCTTAAGATAATATTATATTTTGTGAATCAAATGAACCATTAACTTGACACCTTTAACACCAAGTTATTGGATAGATTATCCAAAGAAAATGTTGTAAGCACATGATTTCATCAGATATTTTAATTGGAATCTAGGGTTTGTTGGATCTTCAAGTGGAATGATTATTAAAGGGTCATGGTAAACTTGAACCGGTAAAATTTGTAACTCGATATTTTATATGCGAAACAACGCTAATTTCAGTTTTGTGATTAATTAATTAAAGTTATTATTACGTCAATCAAAATTACTTGAAATAAAAAAATATTAAAATTATGATTAATTACCCTCAATTTATAACTTTTGAAGTTAATAAGAATTAAAGTGCTCATAATTTTCTAAGAAGTTTCAATTTTTTCACTTAAAATTAAAAAAAAAAATCTTTTATAGATTTTGAAATTAATAAAATCCATAGACAGATGTCACGTTTTAAGATTATTTAAATGTACAAAAGAAAAAGATTAATTTCAGTCTATATTTAGACTCGTTGTTAAAAACAACGTAAGGTGGATAATGATAATAATTGCTGTTTGCTTTGTATTGTATCATCTCCACGACATCACTTTGAATATAAATCCAATCTGAGATTTAGGTTAACCTAAATTAACGCAAACACTAATTAACAACATCATTCATTAAACACCAAACAAAAACGTCTATTAAATATCGCAACATCTTGTATTAGATTTTGCATGTGCAAATCCGCGGCGCTTACATCCTCTACCCTTTTCACCTATTGATTTCGGAACAAAACTAAACAAATAAATCTGCGACAGATCGAGCAAACCATAATCTTCATCGCTGCTTGCACATTATCTTGGTTATGGAGTCTGTGGCTTCCGATATCTCGATGATTCTTCCAAGGGTTCTCATCGTCTCTCGACGAACTGTTCGGAAGAATAAGTTTGTGGATTTTGTAGGTTCGTTCCATTCCTTTGTCTTTTGATTGATTTCAATGAATGCATTTTCGATTTTACTTTTGAATCCCCTGCATGCATGCATACAAATAAATGTTAAGTTATGGCTGGAATTCTTACATGTATTTGTTCAGAATTTTTCTTAGTCAATTAACGTGTGTGTATATATATATATATATATATATATATGAACATGAATGTTGCAAGATACTTACAAAAGCTTCATCCTCCTTGCGCAGGAGAATATCATCTAGATCTCATTGTACGCTATGGAGCAGTGCCTGTGATTGTCCCTCGAGTCACCGGAGTCCACATGCTGCTTCAAAGCTTCGAGCCTATCCATGGTGTTCTTCTTTGTGAAGGAGAGGATATTGATCCGTCCCTTTATGATTCCGAATTGTCGGGCTTTTCGGTAGAGGAACTCAACGAGATTAAACTACTTCATGCAAGTGATACTTCGATTGACAAAGAGAAAGATTCGATCGAGTTAAGGCTTGCTAAGTTGTGTCTTGAAAGGAACATACCCTATTTGGGCATATGTAGAGGATCACAAGTCCTTAATGTCGCGAGCGGAGGCACTTTGTATCAAGATATAGGTAAAGAACTGTCGAAGAAAAACTCGGGGGAGCGGAAAGTTGTTCATATGGACTACAATAATTATGACGGTCATCGGCATCCAGTGAAGGTAGTGAAAGACACCCCTTTGCACCGATGGTTTGAAGATTGTTTGGATGAAAGCGAGATGGAAATCAAGGTGAACAGTTATCACCACCAAGGTGTAAAGAAACTTGCTCCTCGTTTTGTGCCAATGGCTTTTGCACCAGATGGTTTGGTGGAAGGGTTTTATGATCGTGAAGGATACAACCCTGACGAGGGTAAATTCACCATGGGGCTTCAGTTTCATCCCGAGCGAATGCGGCAACCGGATTCAGAAGCTTTCGATTATTCAGGATGTGCATCGGCGTATCAGGTACGGTACTCAGGCCGCTTATGTTTTGAGCAGAGGATTACATTATATATAAAAATCCATGATTGTTGTTATATAAATGCAGGAGTTTGTGAAGGCAGTGATTGCTTATAAGAAGAAACTCGGCAGCTCAGTTTCCATGCCGAAAACTCTCCAGTTGAACCAGGAGATAGAGAAGAAACGAAAGAAAATCATTAAAAGCTTCTCGATAGCAAGATGCATGTATGGTTCAGGAAACACATTTGTTTCCCGATACAAACCCGATCTGCAAGTCGGAGCCAATTTCCTGGAGGTTAGCAAATCAAAACTAATTTAATGTTTCAGATTTGAATCCCATGCATCCTGAAAATGGCCTATAACATTGATTGATGTTAATGTAGGAAAACACTGCATTGAGTTTACAGCAAGAGAAGAGGCTGAAGCAAATGGGAGCAACAGTGAGGAATGGTTCAATGTACAAGAAAATGTTGAATATGAATGAGGAAAGGCAGAAGCTTGCAAGGACTGTGATGGAGAAGATGACAATCGAGCAACTAGCCGAATTGGATGCATTCTACAAGATCATGTCGAAGATATGTTTTGAGGCATTGGACTCGAAGCTCAAAATCCGCGCCCTATAGTATATTTACCATGCTTGACTTCTATATTTTTACCAGATACAAATATTTCAGAAACAAAATACTTTTATATAAGAAATAACATGCAAATGATAATGACTCAGTGGCAATGGCAGATCATATCTTCATGCTATAGATTACATTTCCATAAAAATGTAGAACCAAAGCTAATCATTGCCAAGGAACTGGAAACACCGAACGATATCCGTTCATTAAAAACCGATCCTCTCCAAACATATATTAAAGATGATTAAATGTTGATAAACATTATTAGCATTACAATACATATAAGGGATAGCTCAAAGGTCGCACTTATGCAAGCAACCAAACCAAAATCCCCTCTATAATGTCTAGTAAAACATGAAATCCTACATTTTTTATCATCAGGACGAAAAAAGGGCCTGGTTTTTCTTAACTTATCCATAAATTAAAATTAAAACATGGTAAAGTAAAAGCAAGAAGAAGAAACTAATATATATTCTATGCTGATAGTGAAAGGAAACCGCCTCCGCACTGGCTTGAGCTCAGGCTCTACATCAGCGTCTGAGTCTAATTTTTTCTCCATTCAATTCCTTTATTTATCGCAAATGCTTCACTTCTTCCCTTCCATCCAGCACGGTTCCGTGTCGGACGACATTTCCCCCCCCCCCAAGTTCTGTTCTTTTATAAATTATTACAACCCCAAATTTAACATTTGGCCTTGACCTCCAATACTGAGGAAATATAGTTTGTTTGTAGGAAATATTTTGACATGTAATGATTGCACTTCCCTTCTGGAGTGATAGAACTACCATTACAAAGATATCGGACTATCACCTGCTGCAGAAAAATGAGAAATCTGGCTGATTGACATGAAGGTGTCTCAACCAATTGTCAGCAGCCTGAAAGAGGTTTTTTGCCAAGGCACAATCGGTTGTTCCATTAGGCATCCACAAGGATCCCTTGAACTTGTATGATGCAAGACCGAAGACAGGCAATGACATCTTTGGAACACCATCCATGTAATTGGGGCATGTCACAATCGGTGCCTGAGCACTTTCTCCACCTGAAATATGACAAGTTACATAAAAGGAACAGATGATAAATCTTTACCAATACAGACATATGCTACCAACACTCGTGCAAACACAAACTGTTACTGAACAAAAGCAAGTCTGTAAACATGAGGTTATGCAATCAAGTACGAGAAGCTGCTGTAAAAGACATTTTTACCCACCAAAACAACGGACTAAATGTAGGACTTTGGTAAAACAGAGCAAGATTTTCAGTAACTACTTTGAAGTCAAACATGGTAAAACTTTTGACGAAAAGTGATGTAAAGAAGAAAGAATGACTACTACAACACTTTCAAAGTATCTTATTATTATTCAAGCAATTAGATAATGGATCCATATGGAAGACTCTCGAGCACCATCTGACAAAGTAATTCACAAAGGTTGTTAGAAATGTAAAAGATTAACAATTACAAGTGACAGCCAGAAAAGATCAGTTAACACAAAATCCTAGCATCACTCCGAGTAAACACACATTGAAAATGATAAGATTTAAAATAAAATTCTATATTACCTCCTCTGGGTGTATGAAGATAATGGTAAGTCAGAAAGCAAGCATCTAGATCTTTTAATGTAGGTCCAGTAGGTATTCTGTAAATCGGATACCTAAGAGAGTTTCAGTATATATTATCAGTCAAGTAGTCAAACACAAGTTTGGAAACAAATGTCTAAGGAAAATAAATAATAATACCATGCAACGGAAAGCCAGCTGGAAGATAGTAAATCACAGCTTTTTAGTGTCTTCAATTCAGGGAACTGGAAGGCCAGATCTTCAATCTGTTACCGAATATTAAGTTTAGGAAGTGACCAAAAAATGCAAAGCTTGATCCACACATTAAATGACCACTTGCTGTAAAAAGGAGAGGAGAGAAGAGCATATTGCATATTAACCTTGTCAGCTAAAGGTTCTCGGCTATAAGGAGGGTTTCGTTCAAAATACTCAAAAATCAAACAACTTTGAGAATTGACATATTCCCCCTCATCACTAGATAAGTCTTCTTGAAGTATCTGCTGATCTCCCATGGACAATCTATCCATCCTACGAGATATCTCACTTGCCATGTGGAGATTTCTTGTTTCTCTCAAAGCATTTGATCCTCTTTCAGGTTCACAATCACTACTACCATCACTGCTCGAGTCCCTAAAGTCACTATCACTATCCTGACCTGGTTGCCTATCATAAAGAGAATCAATCATAATTACATATAACACAACATACTTTGTATTATATCGCTTAATGCAAATTCCTACAAAAGCTACAGAGTCAAAAACAAATGGAAGCAACATCAAAATCATTTGCTTAGACCAAATATATTTCTCAAGAAATAATAATGCGCGGAGGCAAAGGAAAGAATGTGGGGGTGGGGGTTAATAAAAAAATACAGCCAGAAAGTTTACCTTCTTAGTGAGAAAATGGAAACAAAGAAATCACTGTCTTGGTATTCCCACAAGAAATACTCCAGGTGATCACTTATAAAATTAACACAGAATAGATTCACTTCAAAATTATCATCATAAGACTCCGAAAGTTAGATTTAGCACAAGCACTTTTGCATGAAATATTAACTAGGACATAACACAAAGGATTTTGCGATAGGGAAGACAGGTAGGACTCAAGTCACCATAAGACTAAGTTAGATTTAGCTTAGCACAAGCACTTTTGCATTAAATAGGAACTAGAACAAAACACAAAGGATTTCGCGATAGGGAAGACAGGTAGGACTCAAGTCAAGAACCTAGCTTCTGATAACCCTAGAATACAGTTATATGGTCCTCTGTGTGGTACTAAAATGAGTTGAGCTGCATGTGAGTTTTAGTAGTTTTTTGGATTGATTTTAGAAATAAAAATAATTAAAGATTCTCATTCTGCATTTCATATATTTTTAGTTGCTTTAAGTAGTAATATAATGAGTAATTGATCCTGGTTCTTTTTTTTTTATGTGTTTTAGGTGTCCGATGGGTTTGAAGAGAGCAAAGCAAAGCGAAGTGGTCACGCGGAAGAGCCATTGTGTCTGCGTAGCAGCTGGGGAGTAGTTAGTTAATAAAAACTAAAGGTAGTTATTTCCTATTCTGAGAGCATAGAAGACTTACGAGTTCAAAGGGATATCAGTTAACCTTGGAGATCTAAGAAAGGAGATCAAGGAGGCTTCGATAGAGTTTCTTCTAAAGCTTTCTGATTTAGGTCCTAGATTCCAACTGTACCATAACGATGAATTTGATCTTTACTTTGTATATAATAGAGAACTAAACTTCTTGATCTAGAAATGCAATAACTCTTCATTAATTCTTGATTGTGTTTTATTATCTTTATAGAAATGCCTAATTTGTTTATGCAATTCTAACCTTAGTGCCTTCAATCGCTTGATCACCAATTGATTGATTTGATTTTATATTTACAACTTCAAAAGGTGATAGTAAAAGCAACCTTTGATTCTATAACCCTCGTTTAATTCAATTGCATGAGACGAAGAGAGTTGATTGGTAATTATGATAGGAATATACCTAATTTCCTTGAATAGCCTAACAAGAGCTTGATCCTAACGTTAATCCTTAATTCAATAGTCACGGGTGTGGGTCGTATGGGATTAACACATCTACAAAACTTCAAAAGATACTTGCAGACAAATTATTGCTCTAGATTAGCAAATTATGGTGTTATGATAGAGAGTGGCCATTGATCTTGATGAAGTGATAAAAGAGTTGTAATTCTATGTTCAATTCTCTATTGTGCTCATGAAATGCATTAGTACTTTTATAATTTGACAGTGTTGAACTTACTTCGTTAAAATTTTATTTTAGAATTTAAATGACGATTGGATACTTTGAATAGAGTTGACATTTGTGACATTCCTAGTACTTAGTGAGCAAAGCAAAATACTCCACTTGGGAATGATACTTCTATTTTATCACTTGAAACAAGACATGCTAATATTTAGATTAAGCAAGTTGACTCTAATTCAATTTTTTTTTCTATTGCTTTTTAGTTCCATTTTTTTCTCCTTTGTCGTTTCTTGCTTTGGCAGTCATGAGTTGTACGCTGAATAGTGATAATGCTGAGCTTATTCCTCATGATCTTGAGACAAAATGTACTTTGAGTAAACAAAGGTAAGACCAAGGGAATTCTCCACTCAACCAAATATAGCATAAACAAGGGTTCACAAGGATGGAATTCATCAAGCATTAGGAGCCCATCCATCCATCCAAGCGAGCAACATCAAAATTAGTGCTCTAGATTAGCAAATTATGTTGTGATCTAGAGAGATCATTCATTGATGACGATGAAGTGAGAAAGAAGAGTTGAAATTCTAGGTTCAAATATCTTATTGTGCTATTGAAATAGTCAATTTTGTTGCAACAAGATAGTGTTAAAATTTACTTCACTTTGTTTTCTAGTTTTCAGTTTAAACAGAATTGGACTCTTCAAATAAATTTGACCGACATTTCTAATACTAAGTAAGAACTAGGCAATACTCCTCAGTCCTCACGGGAACGATATTTTACTTTTACTTTATTATTTGCGCCAATAGGCGCACTTGTTACCGCTTTCACCTCTAAGCTAATGCTATAAAAGAAGTGAAAGAGATTCCCCTTTATCCTTACCAGATAAAATACTTGAACCAACAGAACAACTAAATCCATGTCATGCAGCATATAAAACTTGAGACATTGTGGCCATAAGAATCAAACTCAAACAGTTACAGATTGCTATTAATTACATTCAAAGGAGAGAATCATGCTTTAATAAATAGATTAGAAAGGAGATATTTCAATTAAATGCAAGCAGAACCCTCCACATAGGAATATAACAATCATTCAAGCATAAAGAACCACTCAGAAACTGTGGGACTAAATAAAAATTGACAGAATAAAACCATAAATTAAGTTAATAACATCACATAGCTAGCTAACAAAAGAGAACAAAAGTCAGAAAGTAAACAAACAATGTAGAACTAGCTACTAAGATCCTACAAGTTTAAAGTGAACGCCAAATAAATCAATGCAAGCAATATATTAATTACCTGGACTTGGCAGGCAATTTCATGGAATCCACATATATTTGAATACCGGATAAATAAGGTACATAATACTGAACAACAGAATCACAATCATTCAAAATCAGTGGGACTCCAGCACCATAAGCACTCCACTCTTTGAATGTCTCCCATAAATCGCCTAACATGAAATATGGCTGAAATTCTCCGTCACGTGTCCGCCACTCTCTAATCGTCCTCTGCCACATCCATTTTCAAATATCAATCTCATTTTTGAAAAAAATAAAAATAAGATACTCAATCTCCAAAAAAATATCGCAAATTGCACCATAAATAGATTTATGTACACAGTTACACAGTCTTCAAGTGATTTTGAGTTCCATTACTCAATAAACAGTCAAATTAAAACAACATATATCTTACTTCAAATTAGAACACACTCAAAATCTACAACGGAAACTAGCTTAAACCGAACAAACGAAAAAAATAATTAAAAATTAACAAAAGGATCTTATCATTTTGAGATTGAATAAACCTTAGAGAGATAAAGTGCGGGGACGGAAGGCATGACCGAGTCCAAAAACCGCTCCAAATTACTCAAAGGAGAGACGACCGGTTCTGAAACGGGAACCAAAACCGGTTTATTATGGTCAGTCGAAGCAACGACTTTCTCCGTCTCCCGGTCCACATTCGATTGGGTGACCGTAACATCGCTTTGAGCCCTCCGTAGTTGATCAGTTTGCTGGTTCTCAAACGACCTTCTCGCCTTGGCCGGGTTGTAAAACCGGTCTTCTCCACGGACTCTCCTGAACCCCAATCCTGTCCCAAACATAACTATATATTTTTTTCCCTTTGGATTTCTTTTTCTTTACTGAGAATTGGAAGTAAGCGATCCTATTTTCCTTTGCAGATCAAAGAAAAATGATAGGAGGGAAGGGAAATGGACAGATCTAATTGAGAAGGTAAAGGGTAAAATGGTCAATTCCACTGAATTAAAAAAAAATTAAGGATGTTTGAAAGTTCTCAATGAATATGGGAAGGAAAAGAGACGGTCTTTAAATAAAAAGGATGGGCCTGGGCAGAAGACGCAATAAGAATTATATTTTTGTTTGATATAATTGTGAATTCATCCCCCCATTTTATGAAAATTAGATAACTAGACTCTTTACTTTAATTTATCAAATATTTGTCATCATATTTTATGAAAACTTTAAAATTAGTTCATTTGAAAATTGAAATGATCATCTAGCTCAGTTGGTAGAGCACAATGTTCTTAACTTTGAGGTCGTGAGATCAAGTCTCATGGAGGGCATTTTTATAATTCGGAGGTCTCCTACGGAAGCTGCTCTCAACCTAATGTTGGGGGCAGCCTACTATCTTACATCTCCCTTATCTCATTACATATGGGAACAAGGGATATCCATTTTTAAAATTAGTTCATTTATTTAAAATTAGTTCATTTATTAGTTATACTGTTAAATATTGACGTTAAATCCCTAAAGAGAAAATCATTAGTTCAATAATTAATATATATAGAACTAGAAAAAAAATTAATAACACTAATAATTTATGTTTAGCATAAAATAACAGTTTAACGTCATGGTTTAATAGTATTACTGACAAATTATTTTTTAAAATTTTTCATAAAATATAAGGGCTGAAGTTTAACAACCTTCTTTTCATTAATTCTTTGTGCAAAATCGGAAATGCGGTTTTTGGTTGGTACGCGTAGGGATGGCAACTCAACCCGAATCCGACGGGTTCCGACCCGACTCGACCCGATCGGGTCAGATTTTTTTAAAAAAAAAAATCGGGTTCGGGTCGGGTCGGGTCGGGTTTTTTTAAATGCACTGTTCGGGTTGGGTTGGGTCGGGTTTAGGGTAAAAAACCCGACCCGACCCGACCCGAAAATATATATAATTTTATCTTATATATTTAGGGATAATTACAATAATATCCCTCCATATATATATTTTTTTAATTAAGTCACTGTTTTTATTGAATTAAATTTTTTTTTATTTCGGGTCAGGTCAGGTCGGGTTTCTAAGTCATATATTCGGGTCGGGTCGGGTCGGGTGAAACATTAATTTTGTCAGATCGGGTCGGGTCACGGGTGGAGAACCATATATATTTTTTTAATTAAGTCACTGTTTTTTGAATTAAATTTTTTTTTATTTCGGGTCAGGTCAGGTCGGGTTTTCTAAGTCATATGGGTCGGGTCGGGTCGGTGTGAAACATTAATTTTGTCAGATCGGGTCGGGTCACGGGTGGAGAACCCTTTCTTCTCAGGTCGAGTGGCCCAAAAACCCGACCCGACCCGACCCATTGCGATCCCTACTTATGATGGCTCCTCACGTAGATATAATTCACAAAAATAATTAGCGCTTAATAAATTAAAAAGCAATTTTGTAAGAGAATAAAGAGTAGGTAAGAAATCAAATTATTTTATTCTTTTTTCCATAAATATAGAATTTTTAGGAGATTGCTTAATATGATAAGAGAGAGATATTTATCAAAGAAACATGGTATAGGTTATTTTGTTTTATTTAATTTTTTGCACATGTCATTTTATTTATTTATTTATGCAATTAATCAAATAGTGTTGACCAAAAAATCTTAACCTGATCTTTAAACCCATGTGATGTGATGCATGGTAAATGCATCTTTTAAAATTATACCATGATTAAGAAAATTTAAAATAATATATTTACCATGTGTTGTATTTGTAATTATATAGTATTCCATATGGGGAAAAAATGAAAACGATTTTGCAAATGTTTTATATTTTTTACGGAAAAGTTTATAAATTTCTTTTTATATTTTCCTTATTATTTAAACGCAACTAAATCTAATAATGTTTTTAGTTAAAAATATTCACACTATACATTGAAATTTTTTATTTAGTGTAATAAATGGTTGAGTACTAACTCAATTAAAAAAATATTAAATACCACTTTTTCAAATGATAAAAGAATATTATTATAATGTATCCATATCTTTTTTTATATATATTTATATAATTTTTAGATAAAATAATTACGCAATTAAAGATTAAATTTGTTTTTAATAAAAAACTATATTTAGATATCCTTCTCAATTAAAGAAAATTGTATTTATGAAAAATAAAAGATACTTTAACTCCGCCTTAATAAATTTCTGGTTCTGCCCTTGAATATAAGGTAATATATATTTAAAAATTCTCAACCATTTGATATTGAACGCTCGTACACCCCCTACATACATAGTATTTAATATGATATCTTAAGGAATAACAATAATATTTCCACTATTGAAGTAGTTTAGTTCGTACTTATTGCGTCTGAATTTAAATATAATGGTTTCTATGAAACCTTTGTTAAAGGTTTCGCTCTTTACTTGTTGTAGAAACACTAACATGCGCAAGTATGAATGAAGAAGCAATACATTAGATTGTTTCACACATAACTCATATGCACAAGTTCGCTTCATTCGCCGTGTTGTCAAAGTTGTTGCTCATTGAATTGTCACTATTGCTGTATCTTTTTTCCGCTTATATTTAAGGAAGTAACCAATGACGGATTTAGGAATATGGTTTTGAGTGAGCACATATATATTAATAATAAAAAAATTTCGTATGAAATAGACATAAATAAAATTTTAGAGTGGTATCAGTAATAAAGTAAACAACTAATATAAAGAAATTCGAATTCTATGTCCACCATGAACAAGCCTTGCATCCGCCACGGGGTGTGAATGAATTTAACTTGAACGAATAAAATTATATTTGTGTTTGTTTGTTTATTTTTAAAGGTGTTCATATTCGATTTTTGTTCATTTAAATTTTCAATATTATGTTCGTATTTGTTTGTTTATTTTTTAAGGTGTTTGTGTTCATTCGTTTAACATTCTTAAATATATTTATTTGACATTCACAAATATAATCATTTAATATTCGCGAATATGTTTGTTTAATGTTCGACAACTAACATTATCTTCTGCCATCTTATTTGCAAGTCAAAGAAATGGTGAAACTATGTCATTAGTCTTTAATTTTCTTAAACTTCATAATTTGAACTCGAAAATTTACCTTATCTTCAATTTAGTCTATATCTTCATCAAAATTCACAGCTACCAGCAATAGAGGAAACGACGACCATGATGTTGAAGAAATATCGTTCAAGAAGCTATTACATGCATAACGAGTCACTAATGATCCATAAAGTATATCTTTCTATATATCCAATATTATAGTGGCATGTACATAGATGATCTATGCTCGTTAACCAGAGCATCTCAAGTTGGCATGTACAATGCATGAAATTCTAACATGATAATCTAATTGACATGAAAACTTGATTAACATATTGATATGATGAAATGAAACTTGCATGGATTGTTCGTAGGTTAATATGGTATTTTTTGTGGAATTTGAAAAGTTGATAATACAGTAAAAGCAATGGAATAGTAAATCATGTATAAGGTATCGATGCTATAATTTTTTTTAAGATTGTCCAAACATTGAAACTAAAAATAGTATCGATATATTTCCAAGATTTCAATATCAAAGTAAGAGTATCAATAAGCATACCAGTACTGGTACCCCTATTGAATTCCACTAATGTTTTAAATGCTTGAATAATTTTACCCAAATGTCATTTCAACTTTAAAATTGTTTGCAAAACAATCCTCGTTGATAAAATATTATTATTCGTGATTGAAATTGTGATTAAATTAGTTGTGACACTGTTTCGAAAATTGAATGTAGCGTATCCTATTCGATCGAATGTTCGATTGTTACAATGACTATGAGGATCTAACAAACACAATGAATGAGTGTTAAAGACTAAATTAATTATTATGTCAAATTTATAAACTGTCACGTTAATTTTTTTTACTAAGTTAACAACTAATGATAAAATAAAAATAAAACCGATAAATAAAATTATTATTTTATAATTTTTGATAATCAAATAACCATAAGAGAAACGTGCTAATAATCGGATCACTTTTTTATAGTTTACCCTTAATTAAACCTCGAATAATTAAAAAAATCCTTTCAAAAAAATGGTATTTCTTAATGGAATTGCATGACAATTGGTGCAAACTTTAACAACCTGTACAGGGCATCGGGCATGAACTTTCTGGCAAACAAGTGACAGATATTTGTGTTTTTCCCGTTGTACTGGCATTGGCTTCCGTTCCTCAATTTCTCCAAAAACTCAATAGTTACCCCCGTCCTCAAGAACCTGGTCGGATGAGGCCCTCCTTTGGACCAATCGACCCACGTCAAACTCCGGTTCGAGTTCTTCTCCCCAAACTTCATGGCCACAAATGTGGGAAGATAATGTTCGTCGGCATAGCAACCGTCCATGCAATGCTGTTGGAACACCGGGAAATACGTTTGGTCCGAAACAACTTCGATGGCAAGATCTCGGTCAATTTCGAACCATTGTGCTCCTTTTCTCCATTGGTCGATTGTGATCTGAGGGCTCATTTTTTGGCTGTATCGACCGCGGCCGACAGGGCCGGCTAAGTCGTAGGACTCGACGAAAGTGTGGGAAGAGTTGATGAGGTAAGAGTAGATGGTGGAGAAGTTGAAGAGCGGAACGCATGATTCCGAGAGAAGAACAAATCTTTGGTTCGATAAATCTAATAGTGCGTTCGCTAGAAGGCGACGCTCGGCTTCTATCATGTTCACTTTTCCCCATTCAACTTCCTGCTGGATATATAACCAAATTAAAAATTGATAAGAAAAATATAAACAATTTTTTTATTTAATCATTAACGTATTAATAGTTAAATAAAAAGTCACCAATTTAGTTAATTCGATCACTGATTCCATACTTGTAAATTGAAAAATACACATACAACATATTTACCATGATGCAACTTTGTGGTTTGTATGGTGGCAGCTTCCATAAATAGAGCCAAAATCTAGTACAAATTGTGAATTCTATGTCCCAAGAAATCAATGCCGGCCATAGTGCATTCAATAGAACATGTTAATTCAACTTTTTTTTACAATAGATTCATACACAACAAATAAACTCTGGTATTCATGTCCTAATTAAAGGGTAAATTATAAATTTCATGACCTTATTTTTTCCCACTCTTTTAATTTATTCATTAAAATTTTTATTTACTCTTATTTTTTCACTCAACTGTTAAATGCTTAACGACGTTATGACCGTATATTTTCCTTTAAAATTATGAAATGACCCAAAAAAATTCATTTTTTGTGTGAAAAAAATTCATTTTTTGTGTGAAAAAAATCATAGTTTCAAATTCCCTTTGATTTCTCGATGATGAAGCATCTTCTTCCAAATCCTAATAGTGGGAGGTGGAGAAGGACGAAACGAGTTATATGTTTTGATTCTACGTTGATCGACTAGTTGGTATTATAGATTACAATATTCTAAGGTTTTATGAGTTTTGGGTTTAGGATTGAGCTTTAAAATGACTTGGGTAAAATCTAAACTAGTGATAGGAAACAATTAGACAAGTTTGTAGATAACTTGAGTAGTCAAAAAAGATGTCGAAAAATGATAATTGTAGTATCGACGTGACACAAGATGAAACTATAAAACCTTTATCATCTGAGGAAGATAAAATCAAAAAAGAAAGGAAGGAAAAATGATGTGGATGACACATGAACTTCATGTCTAGAAAAAGTAGTCCGTATCAGCACATGTGGCTGCCATGTCACTTTTTTATTTACAATTCAACACCCGAGTGATTAAAATAGGAAAAAATAAAAAGTTTAATGAGCAAATTGAAAACTTTTAAATTTTAATGATCAAATTAGGAGTGAGAAAATTTAAAATTTACCCTGATTAATAAAAACATTTTTGACAAATTTTAAATCTAATCATAATCTTACCTAAAGAGGAAGGGAATAGAGACTTTAGGGGCATGAAGAAGAGCACTCCCAGTGATTTTAAAACTCATGGCCAACCAGCCAAATGTCTTGCTCAACAAAATTAATATACGAAGGATAAACAAGATCAAAATCCCAAAGTTTGGTTTGCTATTATTATTTACTAACTTTTATGTAATTAATTAACATAAAGATTTAAGATAATTCAGATGAAAATATGGTAATCGTATACTCAATCGGAACATAATTGTAACATTTTTTAGTGCATTCATTTGATCATGTATGTAAGATATTGTAGAAAAGAATCGACAAATTGTGAACATAAAATAGAAGTGGTTTGAAAAGCTGACCTTGCTGGGAATTCTTCTGCCGTAGAACACCGAGCCATCGGGCTCCGATGTGTTGAAAGATGGATCGGAGTGCACATAGATTGAGTACAGCCCTTGGTTCCCTTTGAAGAACACCTCCCACAATGGAGCCAATAAAACAGGCCCTTTCGTCAAGAACAAAAATGCAACTTTAGGGACTCGGTTGAACGGGTACTCAGCAATTCGGGGACTCATAGAAGCCCTCCATAGAAGCTCTTTGTCATCCATGTCATGCATCAAACTCGGCGGCTCGAGAAATTCCGTCAGTCCAACACGACCGATACGATCACTAGAATTGACTGGTCGCTGAGGCGGCGGACCGAGAGGCGATTGCGTGATGTGTAGATCGAAAGAAAAGTTTTTTAGATGGAAACTGAGTATGACTCCGAAAGATAACCCGCAAACAAAGAGGACGACACAGGAGAGAACACCGAAGAAGTGAAATTGTACGTTAAAGAGCTTCGGACATGACGCTAATGGATTGTCGCGTTTACCCTTCATGTTTTGTTTACCATGGAACTCGGTTCGAAACTCAGTTATTTTGTTTGAGGACGAGAGATGCCAAAAAGAAACACATAGGATGAATCAAAATTTTGACAGAACAATGTCATTGGGAAACTATTGTATTGATCGAAAAACCATAATAAAGAAAACCAAAACACATTCGGTACTTCTTAGACAAGGGATAATGAAATAACTCGCATAAAAGGGAGGGAGATGAGTTGAGCAATTAGTGAGTCGACTCAGTTGGCTTGATTCATTGTATTCATTGAATGGGAAGCTGTTTAAAGGCAATTTGCTGGATTTTCAAGGACGCTCATTTCCATATTTGATTCAGAGGCTGCCAATTTAACTCCATGTTTCCTCAAATTAATTGAATCAACATTAAAGGACATTTTTTGACGGTTAAATTTACTAAAATTCAACGTAGGTTTATTTTTAAAATGCATATATGGTAAGTGAATCATATTATTAGGGCATTCTTAAAAAATAAATTTATTTATAAGATGACAGTTATTTATTTACCATTTATAATTGAATATAATTGGTAAATTTTAAGTATGCAATAATAGAATTAATGAAACAGCTTCCACGCCTTAGAGCATGCTTTTAATCATTTGATAGTTTGATTTGAATACAATTATTTATAAATATGCATATTACTATATGTTTTAAGTAATTATTGTGATGAATTATCGAACAGTCTCAGTGGTTGAAGAGAATGTTGTTTTTCTTTAAGGTATTGGGTTCGAACAGTTGTATCTGCAGGATGTGTGTGTTGTTAATGGTTTTTAAAAAAATTATGAACATTTATTATCTTGTAATCATTCTAAACTATTAAAAAATAATTATTATAATTAGTGAATTTTGTAAAATTGATGTAATTGGAATATTTGGTTATTTATTCTAATTTTTAGTCATGGCAATCTTTAAACTTTTATTTATATATTCATTTTTCTTGTTTTAATTAGTGAGATGTGTTTAATAATTATAAGAGAATGTAATTATTACTACAATGATTAATTTCTTATAATTATTCTATAATGTACAAACATGAAGCATGTCCTTAAATCGACTTGTAAATTATATATAAATGTTTGAGGACCGAGCTACTCGGTCTGCATGAAAGCCCATTCGATATATTTGTGTGAACTATAAGTATTCTGTTTATTTATTTTAATACTTTAGTGATTAATTCCATCAAATTATTTAATTATTTTGTATTTTAAAGTTTTAAAATTATTTTATAATAGTTCAGAGTGATTAAAAAATATAATTCTCTTTTAGCATTAAAATCACTTAATAAATTCTTAAACTCAGAATCTTAATCAAAATAGTGTTTTTCTCTAGGATTCGGTAGAAGATTGATGGGCCGGTGGATTTCAAAACATGTTTTCTCTCTGGGTTGGTAGAAGCCTAATGGACCCAATCATGAGTTATTCATTAAATAATTTCATTGACGGAAGAGAATTTTGTTTTTCCTTGAAATTTTGATTTAAGTAGTTACGTTTGCAGGATGTATGCACATTATCAATTAATAAAGAAAGTTCTAAAAAATATCATTTTGTAATCATCCTAGACTATTCATATAATTTTTACTTTAAATCATGTTTAGTTAGTATAAATGATTATATTGTTTTCATTAATTCAGTATATATACATATATAGTATTATTTTATAATTTCACTAGTTAAAGATAAATTTATTTTTAAGATAATAATTTTTTAATAATACAATAATTATTCAATTTATTTTCTCGATTAATATTAAAATATTTGTTTAACAATAATAATATTTCAACAAATAGTAATAATAAAAATAAATGGCTAATTTTAATCCTAAACAAAGTTGTCTTAACCTGGGTTTGAATCAAAACCCACTTGTATTTTATAACGAGACAGAGTCCCCTTGCTCTATGCTGAATTCTTCCATAAGTGAAGGTTTTTCTCTTTAAAATAAAAACACATCGAACTTAGGGGCTGTTTGTTTACTGTTGAATGCTGAACCGTTCAGCATTCAGCGTGTTTGATTCTCACCTCTGAATGAAGACTATGCTGAATGAAACAGCAAAACACTACTGAATTATTCAGCATTAAAGTACATTCTGAATCATTAAGCACCCGATATTTTACCATAATACCTATTTTTTCACATGTTGTCTTATTAAACAATCATATCTTATAATATAATAAATCATTATGAAGGTAAAAATGAAATTATCCATAATTCAGATTGAACATTCAGAACCATTATCAAACAGCATGTCACATTCAGAGCCAGTTCATACAAAGCCTTTGAATCATTCAAGCGATTGAATCATTCAACGCTTAATCATTTTATTTTATCAAACGGCCCCTTAGATTAAGCAAATTCCGTTGATAATAGGTTCATATGTGTAATGTACAATGCTATAATAAAATATGACATAAAATCAATGACTATTTATATTACATCTGTAATAGGTATTCAATTATCATGAAATTAAAGTGTAGATATCATAAATTATATTTATATTTAGATGAGAGACAAAATTATAAATACTTAAAAAATTGACTTAATATTCGATCTATATAAAGAAGTAGTGATCCCAAACAATAGGTTAACTTTTATTACTTTTACCAAGTCTTAAAATTTTCAATCCACCTTCGCATGTGATGATCAACTCTCTTTTATATTTATGTTGCATATCAAATATTTGGTCTATTTATCAAACTGTAAAATGATCGAATGATTCAAGTTTTATTAATTATAATTTCATCTATTAACTATCAGATCCATATATAACTCTGTTGATGTACTCCTACGATAATGGATCCCTATAATACGAAACAATAATGTTAAGAGGCATACCTTGAAGGAGCTTTATAATGTTGGAGCCCTACAGTGACGAGCTAGGATATATACATGTAAAGCCATGAAAGAGCTGCCATTCTAGAATCCAAAGAAATATAATTTCATTTCATCAAAAGAGAAAAAAACAAATGAAAACTCCAAACATAAAATGTTTTTGTCATAAACGAGCATGTGCACATGTCCCCACTCCAACTAACATAAGAACCAGAATCTATCCCTGATTAATAGTCCAAGTATCTCTCACTTAATCAGCAACACAATTGCACATTTGTTTCGTCTCATTGGTTGACCCAAAGTCCCCCTTCCCTCATCTCTCCCAATAATCCTTTCACGGGAGACCTTCCATTGTGCTACTTACTACTCACAACTATATATTGTTTAAGTTTAAATTGCAAATTGACTGCTTTTCTAATGCTTTAGATAATATATGATTATGTGGTTTGCTAATTGAATTGTAGTTGTTATAAGATAACCATAAATATAGTGATTGTATGATAAAGGAGATACTGAATATTTAAGTAAAATTTTCTTAACAGAAAAAATTACAGGCAAAAGCGAAGAATTAATATTAATGTTAAAAAATAAGAATACAAGAGGATTTGCATAATTGATTTTATTTTTAATCTTAACCCCTAATATATATATATATATATATAATTACTTGACTATAAATAAATATGTTTAATAGAAATCTATTCAAATTAATTTTTTTTTTTTACTTTTAATCAACAACTAAAGTTAGAAGCATGATTCAATTCGAATAATTTTTTTAATAAAACTCTAATAAAAAAACAGAGCCAGTAAAATTAAGATTATAAAACTTTTTCGAATAATATTTATCTATATAAATGAATATTTAAAATGATAGTCGAATTATATAAGGAGGGATGGGAAGAGAGATAAGGTCACTTCATCATATAACTCAAAGCTAACTCCACCCAACTTCACCCACCTATTTATGTTTCAAAAGTCAAGTAGGCAGTGTCACTTGGAATCCATGGAGCGGTTTTATTTTTCTATAAAATATATCATAGGCTTTTAAATTATGTTCGAATAATTATTTTGGTCGCTGATTTTTTTAAAAAATATTATTAAATTTATTGAGTCAATATAAAATAATTATTTCGATGTTATAATAAGTATAAAAATTTTATAAATTTAATAATAATGTTGACCAAATTCGATAAAATTTAATTTTTAATTAGAATTAGTTCAATAAAATTTGATGATTATTTTATAATAGTTTAATAAATCAAATAATTATTTTATAATTTTTTAAAGTTAATCTACGAAAAAGTCATTTGAACATTATTCAATAACCTATTTTATATCTTATCTTAAACTTTTTAAAATTTAAAGTTCTTTAAACATATCCATAAAAAGGGGTTTCACCTTGAAAACTAAGTCATTCTTTTAGGGATATCTCTCCTTTTTTTGGATCATTCCAAAAGTAATTGTGGCAAAAAGAAACAAAAGAAGATTGAGAAAGTTAGTGGAGTTGATATAAAATGATGATAGAGGATCATGCCTCAAATAATCTTTTGTTTTCACTACTAGGGTTATATTATTTCAGGTCCATCGAGTAGTCTCGATTATTAAAGAAAATATTATTATTTTTAGAATTTTTGGATCTGAACTCCATTTATAAAGTGTGTATATATTATAAATGATCAAGAAAAATTATAATAATATACTATATTATTATCACTCGTCTAATAAAAAGAATTATATTATTTCAATTGGTTAATTTCCATTGATTAGCACAAAGTAAGGTGGGGCACATTTGTTGATTCGGGCAATCTTAGATATAGGGATCCTTTCAATCAACAACAAAGAAAAACAATAAAAGCATGATTGATTGAGGCTCCTTGCAAGTTTTGTCTTTTTTTAATATGAAGATGGTGGAAGCCATTACAACAATGACACCACACCCTAGTTAAGATGACAGTTGTTTATTAATCAATGGGGATTGTGAATGTTTGATTGGACAATTGTTTCAACATCCCCCTTTTACTTAAAAGTTCTCCCCTAATCTCAAGGTGGGAACTAGAGAGCTAGGTTGTGTTGTCGTTCATGTGGTCCCCCAACATGCACCAATTGAATATCGATGCAACCTCACATGTTTTATTATCCTTCATTAGTGGAGAAAACCTTGTGTCTTTGCCTCTTGTATTCAACCATAAGGGATGGATAGAGAAGCGTTAGACGACCTTAAGATTGATTCTCAAACAAATAGAAAAAAATATAACTCATCAAACTCATTTTTAAGATCAAGTTTTCACAATCTTAAAACAAGACACTCGTGACTCACTAAAAATATTATTTGTAATTAAGAAATTGTCTAGAGAATGCAATTTAATTTTAGTAATATTTTTTTATTTTGTTTTAAATTTATTAATCTCATATTCAACATATAATTTGTATGTACAGTCTCCTCTACATTTTATGTATCAAATTCATCTCTCCACTATATGTATACCTAAACTACTTCACGTTAGAGTTTGGTACGGGTCCTATCCAATTAAACATGTTGGGAAAACAGGAAGATTTCAGACTATTTAATTTGCACTTATAGTTCTAGTTTCATCCCATAAAATCATGAACAACTGCGAGTGCAATTCAATGAAAGCTATACCGTCACTCTCTCAACACCCTTATTAAATGAAGACAATTCAAGAATCCCAAGTGAAGCCAAGGAACCAGCACACAACTTTACTTGGGTAACACTGGTCCCCAACAACCCTATGTGAACTCTTTAACCTTTATGACTATGACCACTCACATTTATTACGAGTGAGACTCAGGGATGGATCGAGAAGGTTGACGTACGATCGACTTTTTGAAAATTTTAAATTTTCATATAATTTAATTTAATTTTTAATTTTTAATTTTTTTTTTATTTTTTATCGATAATCTATCTTCACCCCTAAATTTTATAAGTTCATTTTCTAACATAAAATTATCTGTCCCTGACGAGACCAAATCTATTGCACCCATATACAGGCGGGTGATAGCGGCAGTGAGAAGGAAAGACCCACATGAGGGGGGAGAAAAAAAAAGTTAAATCATTGGATCCTCATAATAAAGCAAGAAGATGGGAAAGGTGGTTAGGTTTAACGAGGGCTAGGGTTTTTGTTTCTTTATTTCGAAACTGATGGAGATCCAATCCAAGACCTAAATCTATGTGCATGATAACTTCAGGGTTTCCTATAAAATAAGACACATGTCCCACATGAAAGGGTCATCACAGCCATCCCATCTCTTACCTGCTGCTTATTGGAATCTACAAGAAAATTGTCGTTTGAAAGGGGAAGAAAGAATCTATTAGACTTTACTTAAAAAGGAAGTCAAGCCTTCTTATATGTATGTATGTATGTATATATAATGTATTTGAATGGAATATTAGGGTTCATATATAAAATATTGAATAGAAACACAGATGAGAAATGGGAGACAAAGGTAGGTCATCATATTTGGAGTTTCACGCACGTATTAATCATTGATTCTCATTTGAAAAGGTGGAAGGAGGAGATTAGAATTTAGAATGAAAACCCTAAACTCTCCCTCTTTCCCTCTGTCATAGTTAGTAAGATTCGGGGAGATCTTGGGCAAACCAGGAGAAAATATTATATAGGAGTATATGTATAATTTTAACGTCAATCACGCAAACATCCTAAGCAATTATTCATCTTCAACACGTAAAGGCAGGGACCCCTTATATGTAAAAACCTCAACATTCATGCATTTTCATGCCGGTATCTACAAATCTCTACACGCTATTTACACTCTAAATTATATATATACAATGTAAACGAGGCAGATGCTTCCTGCCCATGTAAAATTATTTTATGTTCGATAGATTTTAATTAAATAGTACTTTGGTTAAGGTAAAATTAAGTATTTAAGTTAATAAATATAGTAATTTATTAGATATTTAATCAAGTAGGGGACAAATTAAAGAATAATAATCCAATACCAACAACCGGTTAATCTAACAGGATGAGGCACTAGATCCTTTAAGCAAGGCAGGAGTCCGAATCTTGGCGATTGAAAATGGAGCAAACTGGGTTGAGAGGATCGCCCTCGCCTCTGCAGTACCTGATCCGAATTAGTCGACCAATAGATTGGAAACCAGTGGTTATACAAAAAAAATGATAATTCAATGTTCTTAAATTTTTTATCTAATAACAATTTAAGTCATTATAAATTTAATTATTATACAAATTAGACATTATTTTCTAAATTGTACTGTTAAATATCTAGTAAATTATTGTATTCTTCTTAAAAAAAATTAATATTTCGACCTTCTTTATATCTAATCCTCGTTCCGCCATGAGGATATTTATGAAATCGTATATATATATACCACCGTCATTGAAAGAAAAAAAAAGAAAATCAATTATATTTGAAGAGTATCCTACTTAATCAATCTTAATTACTACTTTATTTTCACTTTTTTCTTTAGAATCTTAATTTAGTTATATTTTTTATTATAATTGTATGAGTTGATAAGACTCGAAAATGTTTAAATGTTCAAATTAGATTAATTTTATGTATTTTATAATTTCTTTTTTTAACAAATAAATGTTTATGGTTTGACTTTGAGGAAAGAGATGAGGCTAAAGTGGGAGTGGGTGCGGCTGTCGGCTCCTGAGATTGAGCCCAAGTCAAGTGAAGTGGAATGCGGAGTTTTTTTTTTAAGAATAAATTACAAATTTCATCACTAAATTTTATTATATCTTCTATTTTGCGCACTTAATTTTATACATTTTTAATTTTTTAGTGAATTTTATATATTGGATTTTTTATCACTTCTCCGTTAAATAGTTAATGCGTTAAAACGATGCCGTTCTGAAAAACAAAACTTTCACCAAAATGGTATCGTTTTACATCTATTAACAATTCATTTATATCGTCGTTAGTAAGAAAATAACTGAGTGATTAAAAAACTCAATATATTAAGTTCAGTGAGGAAATTGAAAAGATTTAAAGTACAATGAATGAAATAAGAGTGAGTAAAATTTAGTTACCAAATTTACAATTCATTCTTTATTTAAATAAAGATTTTTTTTAATCAGAGAGAAGCATCGAGCATCATTGTGTGTTATTGGTGTTTATATTTATTTTAATTTTAATTTTATTATTCATGAATTTCGTATGACATATTTTAATTATTATTATTTTTTATATTTTATAATAATTAGTTTTAATTATATTTTTCATCTTTTTAGTATGCATCCTAGCAATTTGTTGTTTAAAAACTGAATGCTCAAAACGATGACATTAACCCAACCAAAACCAATGTTTACAAACATCTTTGTTAGCTTCTCAGCGACAGCGTCCATTGCAACTTAAGAAGCCCTTGAAGTGGTTTATGTCACATCAGTTTCTTGTCTGTTTCCCAACAACATTGCGTCATATTTCCAACAAAAACAAATTTAAAAGCAAAACAAATAATAATTTGAGATATACCGGTTTTGTCAAATGCTTTCATTTCCTTGTGCTCCAACTCGATCATTTCAGTCTTTATACAAAACATTAGCAAGTGCAATGACAAAGTCAATACCATTTAATTATGTTTCAATAAATTTTGGTTACGATTAGGGATCACAAGTCGGATTAGATTTTGTATTCATTTAAATCTGATTTGAAAATCAAATATTTTCATTCGTATTCGATTTAATACGGGTTTAAGAGAATTTTATGCGATCCGAAATTTGATTTTTATTTTTTATTAGATAAAATAAAGATCTAATTAAAAAAAATCATAATGAGAGAGATTATTACAATTATTCATAAAATATATAATGAATAATTATAATATTATTTCGAATCAATTTTTTTATCCTAAGTTCAAACTCAATTAGGATTGTAAATGAGTCAAGTCAAGATTAAGTATTGCTAAGCTGGACTCGATTAGAAAACTCGCAATCTTAAAATTATCAAGTTTGAGTCGTACTTGAAATCAAAATTGAAGCTTGACTCGAGCTCGCAAAACCTTGAAGTCAAGTTATATTTTAAAAAATATAAATATTATCATTATTAATAATTTAATTTAAAAATAAAAAATAATATATTATTTTTCGAGTAAGATTTCAAGTATCTTATTTTAACTCGTTAAGAACTCAAGTAGAGTTCAAACTCGAGTCATACTCATTTAATTCAAGTGTTAACAGATGAATAGGTATAACGGGAGACAAAATGCAATCCCCTTGGGTCCCCAAGTGTTATTGGCTTGGAGCTATGTTCCCCCTTGATATCCTCGTTGGGATATCTGAACTCTCTCTCTCTCTCTCTCTCTCTCTGAGTCCACTGTGCACATTTTACAAACCACTTTCTTTATTTTCATCTTGTCTCTATGTATATATACACCCCACACAAGCATCTCTTCTCATACACTACATCACCTTATACTTTCTTCTTTTTATCTTTTTACTTTCTGCATCTCACTCTCTTGCTTTATAACATGGCGGAGCTAGAGTACCGGGATAATACAAGAACCACCACGCCCGCCGCTACACGTTTAAAGCTCTTCGGCTTCAACGTCTCGGAGGACGATGATGGTTCGGAATCCAGCATCTCTAGTATCAACACGGTCAAAGTTCCACCGTCAGGGACGTCCCCGGAAGAGCCTAGTGGTTTTCCTGCTCCTTCAGGTGAACGTAAATACGAGTGCCAGTATTGTTGCCGTGAGTTCGCTAACTCTCAGGCCCTTGGGGGTCACCAAAATGCTCATAAAAAGGAAAGGCAACAGCTGAAGCGTGCTCAGATGCAAGCCACTCGAAGCGCGGCGGCAACCGTTTCGTTCGCTAGGAATCCCATGATTTCTGCTTTCGCTCCTCCGGCGCATCTGTTAGCGTCGGCCACACCGCTTGTGGTGCCGACTGCAACGGGGCCATCGTGGGTTTACTTACCACGTGGAGGGCCACCGCCTTTCAACTACTCACATGGTTGTTTGATTCCAACTGGCGGTGGTGGTGACGCTGGTGGAAGGGGGCAAGCCGGTGTACCTTATGGCGGTGGTGGTTGTTCGGGGCTGAACGTTTGCCCACAAATGATGCAAGGTAGGGCCAACCATGGTCGGACCTTTGATGGACCCTCGTTGAGTAGGTTTACCAAAGGAGATGGTTTTGATGATTCATTGAGCTTGGATTTGCATCTTAGTCTTGCTCCTTCTAGGCCTTGACTCTTTTGTGTTGTTTTTCCAAAAATTATATTTATTTATTTTCATCAACTAATTTGCAAATAGCCCTTCTTCTAAACATAAAATAGTTAAAATTCATTTAATCCACAACAATCCCAATTTTGCATTTAAGACATAAATTTTAAAGATAAAAATTATAATAAATCAATCAATAATATTTTTTTATGATTAAAATGTTATATTTGTTTAGAATTTATTTTAGTTTATAGACAATATTCATACACACCGGTGTGAGCATTCGATCACTTCAAGTCAAAAAAATTTCAGTTATTCAATTTAACGAGTCTTATTTTATAATTAAATTTGATTTGAACTTTTTTGAGTCGAGTAGAGTTTTTATTTAAATTTAATTGTTAATATTTATAATATTATTATATTTTTTTATTCTAATTTAAATGATTTTTATAACTATATGTATATATTTCTTCATATCTTTTCATGTGTGATATACATATATTATACAGAGTCGAGGGACTTGCCTTAAATTTAAAAATCAATCAACTAATTATTAAAAATTTTGAGTTATTCAAGTTGTATTTTATAACTCGACTTGAACTTGAAAATTTTTCGAGTCGAGTCGAAAAAATCAAATTTTCGAATCGAGTTGAGTTTTGCTCACCTCTACACACTGTAAAAGTAATTACTCGAACTTAAATTCTCTAAGAATAATATTTCCTTTTACTACCTAACTCGCTCAATAAATTCTTTCATTTGAAATATTTATACTTAAATTTATGATCTCTTGAATATTATAACAACAAATATTAATCGAATTAATATTAAATCTACGTCAAGAGTTTCATATAAGGTCTTATCATCATTTAATTAACTTAATATTCATTGTCAAAATTACAAACACACTACTCCAAGATATCTCATATTATACTTGAGTACAAATTTACATTACCAAATCTATTTATACACTTTTTCCTTATCCGTATACCAACAACTTATTTAACAAAGTATATCACCTTGCATTCATTTCTCTAAAGCTGTCTAAAATGTCTTCTATTACGTTCAGCCCAAATAAATTAAATGGTAGCATTCAGACAAGCTTTAGTATAGTAATTATTAGACTTGTCATTCAAGTATCAACAAATCTACTACCTATTAAATTTCAACCTTGATGCATCATAATAATCGTATCATACTAGTTTTCAAAATCACCGTGACTATATTTATATTTAAAAATATAATTATTTTAAAGAAGCAAATCACGTTATAAGTCACAATCACATCTGAGCAAGAACATTTGATCGGTTTGCCAAATTACTCATCTTTGTTTGCTCGTATTCTTTTAGGTCATGAGTTCTAGAACTACTAGAAGCACTCTCATTCTTTTCCTTGAAGTCTTCCTTTCCTCTCCCATCTAACTAGGATTAAGATTATATTTAAAATTTTTCAAACCAAATTAAATGAGAATGGGTACAAATTTTGTTAATGATGGGGATAAAAATTAAACTCTTCCATAGATAATGAGATAGATATCCTATCTTTATCCCTCGCATAAATATTTGTATTTACATATTACGAACTTTGTATTTATCCAATTTTTATAGGATAATTATAGCTCTATTCTATATTGAACATTCTCGATATTGAGTATAATAATAATAAACAAGGAATTTGTGTAATGTAAAGAAAGAAGAATAAGATGGAGATGAAAGATTTCGGCAAAGAATACTAAATCTTGAGAGAAAAGTAATCAAAATCGAAAGGTTTATAAGATCTGACATAAACATTCTATAGGTCACTACAATACAATTAAAATAAAACTTGCTAATACGTAGGACCAAAACAATGATTAAATATTGTGTGTGGTCTGTGCGGTATTGGGGTGGAACCTCGAGATCATCTTTTCTTGGAATGTTCTTATGCGAGGGAGGTTTGGGGTGCTGTTATGAACTCTTATGGGTTGCAACCGCCGGAGCAGAATTGTTGGGATGACACTCTTCGTTGGATGATCTTGAATCTGAAGGGTACGTATCTCTTAGTTCATATTCTTAAATTAGCTTGGACGGGTTTTGTATATTTCATATGGGAAGAGCGTAATCACAGGCATTTTAGAGGGTTGATTCGTTCGACTGATACAATTATGAATGTTATAAAAGAGGCTGTTAGGATGAAGTTGTTTAGATGTCTCATGAATAGGTTGGATGGTGTAAATAGGCAATTATGCATAGATTGAGGGTTAATCTAGCTGGTTGTTATGTTACTTTAGCATCTTTACTGCTTTCTTTTTAGATGAATACAATTTTACTTATCCAAAAAAACAATGATTAAATATCAAGAGGAGTTAACTTATTTAACTTAAAAAGACATGTACCTAATAAGGATTTGAATCTAAAGATTAGATGTCATAGAACTTAGTTTGATCATTATTTTAAGTATTAAGGATTTAAAAGTATTGTCATTTAACAAAAAAAAATTGGAGAGGGGAATCTCTCCCAAGTATTACATGGTTCCGTTCCTGCTAACACATTTCATAATCTTTTAAGACCATGACTCTAATCTTCTTGTGTGTGTGCCTTCTAATAGTTAAAGATGCTACTAACTTTTCTTAAAGTGGATCCCGCTTTTATGGCTTCTAATATGAATATGGAGTTTCTGATTTATTATAACTACATAGAAGATCGAGGCAGTTAGAGAGAAGATCATGAAGAATCTAAACAAGTCGATAGATAATATTATGAATGTGATTTTTGAAGATCAAGTGACTGATGACGATGAGTTTAAGAAGACTACAAGGAAGGTAAATAGAAAGGAAAAGAAGAATCGTGAGAGATAGAGGTGGAGGCTGAGAAGCCGTGAAATCTTTGAACAATGCATACCGAGCGTAAGGCTACAGTTGTTGAAAAAGGAATTAACAGCATTCATTGTTCTCCCTCGGAGGCTTCCTCGGCATGCATGATCACCGATAAGAAGACATCACGGCCAAAGTATTAAAATTTTATAATATTATTTAAATTTACTTGGATCGAGAAGACACAAAATGAGATTTTACTCCAAAATTTAAAATTGATTCGGGATGGATAAAATATCAGTAAAAGTAAAAACATATCAATATCATGTAAAAAAAATTGAATTTTCAAGTCAGGATCGAAACAATAAAAAAGTTTACCAATTTCATCCCTTGTCCATCCCTAATATTTACATATAATTGATGATAGTAAATACTCCATCAACTAAAATATTTATGATTACTTTTTACGTGTTTGCTAGTAAAAATAAACCACCGAACTGTGTGTCTTAGATCATCTTTGACCTGGAAAGCATTAAACAAGTATGTTGAAGACTTAAATAAGTGAACACAGTCATAAAAATGCCCAGAATTTGGTTTTGTCATACTTAAAGACAAAAAGGACCAATTGTTGGATCTGTGCACACAGGAAACCAGTGTTCGTTGGTGTTTCTTTTCTTATATTAAGTATATTTAATTAGAATTAAATTTTAGTACATAAATAGATGCATTAGCACTAATCATTGTTATTTCCTTTTAATTTTTATCAAATAATTTTACATCTCTTTATAAATATTTAGTCATTATCATTAAATTTGTTACAAATTATTATCATAAAATTTTAAAATTTAAAATATATAACTATAGTATTAATAATTAATTAGCTCGAGAGAAAGATAGAAACACTGTATTTGGTTGAGACAATCAATGGATTGTTAATGGTTGCCAAGAGAATTATTGGGCCACAAAGTTCACAACCATGAAAGCATAGTCAGCCGCTCCTCGATTGTTATTGTAGCCCAAATTGATTAGAAAATTGTATGTAGCCCAAATTCAGTAGTTAATTTTTATTAATATATCAAACATAATATAAACGCAATATTTATAGTATACAAATAAAATTTGTAGAATAAGAAGAAAGAAGGATAAGACGAAGAAACAAGAGTATCAACAAGTAATATTAAATCAAGAGAGAGAGAGAGTAGTCGCAACTAAAAAATTTATAAAACTTGACATTAACATTTCCTATGTTATCCTAATTTATCTTTACTAATATAATATAAAACTTTAGTTAATATATTTTAATTATTTAATCAGATCGAATCTGTCTCTATAGTTTTTAGACATTTTCATTTCCCATATAAATAACTTCTCAAACTAGTTTTACTAAATCAAAGGATCACTCTCAATTAGAGGACATATGATAGATACAATCCTAATTCAATATCCACTCATTGTAATGAAATACTTGTAGTCATACTTCTTATTTTTAGCAAGAAAAGATGGGACTATTTTGCAAGTCAAATGTCTGTTGTTTTTCATTCTTTCTCGTCCATAAACATGAGTTTTCATTTCTTAATAGTGATGTCTAGACTTTTCTGAAATAAGGTGTATAACACCTTACTTTGTCATATATAAAAATGATTGAGCTCATCAACAGGTTCTATTTAGAAGCTTACATTTGACATTATTCTCTTCATCAGTATAGATAATGTGCTTGATGTCTCATTTAATTTGATTTTTGTTTTCAGTTCAATTCTAATGAACAATATTCAACAATGTATAATGTAATAGTAAATATGATACATGAACAATACAATATGTAAGTTTCTACATAAAAGAGATGGATCGCAAAAATAATTAAAATATAGAGTTTTTTCTAATTAGAATTTTTTCAGACATACACTATTACGATACCACATTATTTTTTCAATAATCGAACAACTATGATAACCTTCATTGAGGCCCTGATACCAATTTTTTAGAAAATTAAGCTAAAATGTCAAAAATATAACCATTAAAATTCACTATAGACAAATCCGTCAATCTATTAAATATTTATGATAAAACTTAATATTAAACAAACAAAATAATGGAGAGAATGCATCTAATTTATGAAATTTAACGAAATGACATATACTCCTTAGTCACTACCTTCAGATGGTCATTTTACTATTACTAAAATATTTCAAATAAGCAAAATTCCTTAAAATTCTTGAATACTACAAATAAGAGAAGAAAGAACCAATAAGAATACATAATTAAGACGATTTCAAATAGAAAAGGATACGACCTATTTATAATTGATATGTAAGGATAAACTATTTATAAATGAAAGTATATATATAAAATTAAAGTGTTATTCTTTTGCATGTAAAAAATTGGGCAGATTCCATTAAATTATTTATAATTTTATGCATCTACTTCCATTTTTGAAGTAAAAGGATCTAATTGGTTATTTCTTTTAGTAAAGGGGCCAGTACTTTTATCTTAAATGATGCACGTTATGCACCTTCTTCTTCCTTCTTTTTTTTGCCTTAAAAAGCTAAACTACACTTATAATGGTTCATTTTTAGGATACTTTCAATTTGGTCACCAAATTTTTAAAACTTACATTACAATCACTATACTTTTAATTCATTTTTACTACGTTCATTATCGTTAAGAAAAATTAATGTGACAAGTTAAAGTCTATTTTTTATTTTATTTTTCCTAAAAAAAACCCTACAAATCCAAAAATTGTCTGTTTTCAAACTAACAGTTATTGCTTTTTCTTTTTCCATCGTCTTTTATCTTCATTTGATGATGTTTTAATTGAAAATATCACTAAACTACTTTTTTTTTTCCTTCGGTTCAAACTCATCGAAAAACCTTCTAATCTATTCAAATATCAATCATAACTAAAAGTTAAGACTTTATGGTCCATCACTGTCAATTATCAAATCAGCTTGAAGCCAAATTTTGTTAAGCTTTTGTTCAAACAAAGTCTTTCCACCAATAGAATTAATAAATTAACCAAAATTAAGATGGGTAATTTTCCTTGTGTCTTTTTTCCCCTTTGCTTATTTTCTTTTATTTTAATTTTGCTATTATATGATGTTATTTGCGAATGTGATTATGGACAATAATCGAATTAGATTGATGATGGTGGTTAAATGGTGACAATATAGGTGTTTCAAATGGTAGTTGCCAATTTAAAAAGCTATGATTTTTATAGAGTTTTTAATGTGTCACCTATTTTTTCTTAATAAAAATGATCATAATAAAAGTAAATTAAAAATTTAACGACTATAATGTAAGTTTTAAAAAATTAGTGACCAAAGTAAAAACACACTGGAAATTCAAAAACATCAATGTAGTTGACCTTTTAAAACACAAAATTCAAAAACATCTTAGGTAGTCTTTTTTATTCATCTCCACTATCCACTTCTGATTTTCTATATATTATTGTTGCTCGTTCACACAGGATTAAAAAGAACCCAAATAGTTACTGATGTTGTGAACTAATGTCCTGATGAGATCTAGATTAATTCGATGTTGCTCACCATGATTTATGTATCTCAATCAAATCATTAAATATAACGAACTGATCAACCTTCAAAACATATAGTAAATAGTTACTGCTCTAATTTTCTTATGCATGCCTCTTCATATAGTTAAATGTGATACCAACTCTTCTTTTGATAAACCACATTCTTATGACCTCTCATATTAATATCGAGTTTTTAATTTATAACGACCACAAATAGAATAGAGACAATTAGAAAGAAGATCACAGAAAATCTAAAAACAATGATAAATAATATTAAAAATTTGGTTTTCAAAGACGAAGTGTATGATGACGATGAGTTTAAGAAGATTATATAGAAGAGATAATAAAAAGAAAATGAATGAAAAATCGACAACGATTGTCGTAAAGGGCATAAGGAAATGGAATTTTCAGAAAATAAATGTTACATGTGAGGCTAAGATTATCGAGTAATGACATAAAAACATTTATAATTCACTGTTGATGGCTTCATCCGGTGTCGATAAGAAAACCTCATGAGAAAAATTATTGATACCACTTTCAAAGAAAGAGATTGAGTAAGAACTCCATGATGATAACTAGGCAATTTCCTCTATGTAAGTCGAAAAACAAACGCGTGATGTTCAAAAGTAATTGGATGTGAGAGAATTTGTCTTTGTTTCACTTTTTCAAGGTTATGTTATAGAATCATTTCTAATGTTTTCATTATTTAATTTGACATTTTTATGGGTTTACAGTCAATATTTCTTAAATTACAGCTGATATATGTATCGATGGATTCTTATAAGGTTTCAGAGATCGTTGAAAATGATAAGATAAAAAAAATCAACTTTGAAAATTATCGGTCTAATTTGAGATGTATGTATTGTTATAGAATTTTTTTAATATTTAATTTTAATGCAGATATAATTACTGATGTTAAATAAGTTGGGGGAAAAGTTTTAGACCTTTAGAAGGATATAATTTCATTAAAAAATTTATTAAAATGATAGTTTTGGTTTTATTGTAATATTCATTAATACTTTGATAAGTATCAGAGCTCAAGTTGCACCAACATCTTAAATTGACCAATGGATTTATCATTTCATTAATACTATTTATGTTTATATTTAATTTTTCTTTTATTGTTTCACCTATTCAAACTTTTTATATTGTCTCACTATATACAATGCTTTAATTATTTTTCTCTAATTCAATTAAATAACATTTTATCTTCTATATAAACACTACAAGAAATAACTAGAAATGTCCAAGCAATATGACATTAAAATTTAGTAAAGTTGATTACTTGCTCCAAAGCTAACTCATAGGTTAATAAAATTTGTATTATATATATGTGATGGTGTATGATGGGAGAAAAGTCGTCACCAATAAAAAAAATTAAAAAAATAATTGAGACGCCACGACACATAAAGACACCATGAATATCTTCTTTTACTTTTACTTGATTTAAAAAATCAAAACTCTAAATACATAAAATAAAGAGATACAGAAAAATATGATCCGCGTATAATAAATCTCGTTGAGAAACAATAGAACAAACCTTATCACCATTTAATAAAGTTCAATAATTAATTTTACAGACATAAAACATTATCCTTCAACATAATAAATCTCTGAAAAACTTAGTGCACATGATGATAAGCATACTATCGAAAGCATCGAAATATATAACATTTATTTGACTATTCAATTCCTTAATCCGAGTAGTGAGTGAAATAAGACTTTTAACTCTTTACTCATGAGACAAGCAATTGATCAGCCGCATGGCTGAAGCATTAGGTTTTCCTCCCAAGCTTAGGCTTAGTAGACTTAACATGTAATTAACGTAAATAAGTTATCTCCGTGATTAAAAAATTATTTTTATTTTTAGAGGTCTCAAATTTGAATATGATTTCTGTAGAAATATTTGAGCATTTATTGTTAAATGATTAAAAAATTTCTAAACAAATATTATCTCGTAATCATATCAATATAATTAAAAAATATACTACTCAAGGACGGATTTATTATATACATGAGAGGGACAATGATCCCCCAACCAGACAAAAAAATTATATTTAATTTATATATAAAATTTAAAAATTTATGAGATAATTATGAATTATTTATCTGTTTTTTAAAAAATTATATTTTCTTAAAAAATGTTTAAAGTCAATTACTAAAGAAAAAGTATCATCTCTTTACTTGATTTTTGTTTATAGTTATGAGACGAGGAGGGTCCTTTATCATCTCTTTACTTGACTTAAAGAAAGATGGAAACAAAAAGACACATTAACAGGGTCCCTATCCAATTACTTGAAGCATTATAAGTTTAAAATCAAGCAAAACAACTCACGAAAACCCACAAATCACATTTAATAACTCATTTTTTAATTATTATCAATTAATCACATTTAATCTATTATTGAGTATCCTCACTGGTTAAAGTAGTTACGCCTGTGTATATATATTATCAATAATTAAGAAATATTATGAAAAGATATTGATAAAAAAAACATTAATTTCTTTTAAGTAATTGTATTTAACCCTTTAAGAATTGTGGATATTAGAGTAATAGCAGAATGTACGGGAAGAAGAAGAATACATACCATGGTGACCTGTCTGCCAAGTCCAAAACAATAATGATATGCATCTTGATCATCAAGTTGATTAATTGTTTTCACTTGAACCAGATACCCCCCCTCCATGTGCTTCCGATAATATCTAATGAAATGAATCTCTTTCTTTACCAAATTTTGCTCTTCCAATTTACAAATATGCTAAACCACATGCACATGCAAACAAACCAGCTCAAAAATTTTCATCTTTTCTTCTTTTTAACCTTACCATTACAGAAGAGAGAACCGAACCCGAAGAAGCTGACGGTCACATTTGAAATGATCGGATGCGGTAGATTCAAAACAGGACTGACTCGAACACCGGTACTCCCATGTGCTCCACAACTCGGCTTCTGTGTTGGATTACCGTAACTGTAATACGTACCGGAAGACGAACTCGACACCGATGACTTCCTCGACAAAGATGGCTGCTTCAGGAAAGTATGCTTCTGGGTTTCTTTCGGAATCGGAGCCGAACCGGTTGAATTGCTTCGTGTGAGGAATCGGATTGAGCGGATTAGGCTCTTGCTTCGACTGCTCTCGCAGTTGAGGCTACTGCTTCTCTTGAACTGCCAAAACGATTTCGATGCAGGCTTGTCGTCTGCATCGATGCTCATCGATAAAAATTCTTTTAATCGTTTCGTTCCCGAGCTCTCCGTTGTAATCGTCCGACGACGAGTAGAAGCTGGATCCGGTTGACGATGAGCTTGTTTTGGGATGACGGGTTTTCGCTTGATTTCGATCGGGAGAATCTTGCCATTGGAAAAGAGCTCATCAGCGGTGGGCAGCTCTTGAACGTAACTGTAATTCTCGAAGCAGAAGTCGAAATCCGACGACGAATTCAACAGCGACGTGTCTAGTCTCCGATGTCGACATTCTTCGACGGAACCCACACCGTCGTTTTGGTCGAGATCATCGGAAAACGAGATCCTGGGGCTTGAAATCCCCGACAAAACTTCAATTGCCATTGCCCAGCACTGTCAGCTCGACCAAAGAAACATGTTTCGGTGTACGTAGCAACAATGGCGAATGGGAAGAGATCAAATTATGAGGATTAAAAGGAAAGAAACAATTGATTCCGTTGTTTTGAATTATGGAAAAAAGATGGAAAGGAATCAAAGTTGTTGAATTGAAGCACCGAAAGGCTACAAAAGGATCTCTCTCTCTCTCTCTCTCTCTCTCTCTTCTTTGGTTGCTGGGTGGGTTTCCAATGGAACTTTTACTTTAGGAATGGAACCTCTAAAATTGTTTGGATTTCACCGTCTAACGTTTACTTTATTATTTCTACAAATAATAATTAATTATCAATTGATTTAACGAGATTAATTTCAATTCAATTTAATACATGGTATATGATTTCACCGTCTAACATAAGTTCTTTGATTGGGTTAGCAATTGGATTTTAATTTTTTAATCAAAGTGCAGAGGAATTAATTTCTTAGAATTAGAAGTTGAGGATTAAATTTTAAAACGTATGAAGAGTACATGGACTAGAATCATAATTAATCCTTTTATTATGTGGCAACATATACACAATATTGTCACATGCATTTTAGTGAATAATAATAATAATTTTTAGAGTTAATTCATTATATGTCCTTAAATTTCAATTCTTATTTTAAATGAGTTCTTTAACTTTTTTAATATCTCAATTTTATCCTCAAACTATGACTCATTCCAAATTAGTCCTTAAAACTTTTGACCGTTTCAATTTCATCCCAAACTATCTATATATGCTAATCACAACTCATGTTGATAAAATTGTTAGGCAAAACTATATTATTATATGTTTGAAAAATAAAGTTTAGGTTAAACTATGATTGAAACTAATTACATACTTTGATGAATTTTGGGATGAATTGGAAGATTCAAAGGTTTGGGGACCAATTTAGATTGAGAGACATAGTTTAATGATGAAATTGAAATATTAAAAAATTGAAGACTAATTTAAAATAGTGGTCATAGTTTAGAGACCAATTAGAATATTCATTTCTCTTAATTTCCACCTATTTAAAACTCAAATCTAACTAATCACAGATTGAGTGAAGTAAAGAGAAGATGATCAAAACTCGATTCGAAACTACAGAAAAAGTAAAAAGTATCAATTATACAATTTTTTAATAAAATATTGCTTTAGAAAGTAGGAGATTTCAAGGTGTCCAATTGGTAGAGACAGCAGCTTCGTAACCGATAGAGCTTGCTCAACTTTTTGAAGAAAAATTCTTATAAAGGAGGAGCAAAGTACATTATTTGGTAAAGAAGCCGAGGGCAAGAGACAAGAGGGAGAGGGTATTGAATGGGGATAACAAATGGACGTGTCTTGTGAAGCATTTTTAGAGGAAAAAACAACAGGAATCCTGAGACAATACTCATGTCCTAACCCGACATGTATAGTTTCCACTGTCTGATCCTTATTTATTACCCTTTTCCGAACAACGCACATTAGTCTTCTTAATATGTGGAATACAAATGTGCGTGTTGGTTGAAAACGATAAAGTTCAAATAATTGAATTAAATATGGTATAATGTCAAGATTAATCCTCAACGTTTATTTGAATAATCATTTTAGGTTTTATTTTATTTGAATATTTCAATTTTGAATGTTTTAATTTTTGTCAAAATGGCCTATGTTACATAAAAATTGTTAATTGACTAACAGTTAATGCATATTGTTAACGTGATATTTTTACATGTGCTATATTATTAACGTGTCACATGTCGTGTTACCTAAAGTGATGACATGATATACGTCATGTCACCAAGATGATGACATAGCATGTCTATAATTTAACACGTGTAGAAATGGCACGTAAGCAATATAGGTTAACTGATAGTTAACTAATGGTTTCCCCCAACAAAGACCATTTTGACAAAAATTAAAATGTTTGAGCTAAAATATTCTTAAAATAAAAAGAAAAGGGATCAAAATGACTATTTCGACAAACGTTGGGGGCTAATGATAGTATTATATCAGTTAAATATGTGAGCATAACTATTAATTGATTTACAGAACAACCAGCTGTATGCATGCATCTCTTTTCAAAGGAAATTTCCCAACAAGTTAAAGAAGAATGAATAAGTCTTTAATGCAGTAGACTCCTATAAGGTGGATCCCATTGTTATCGTGGATAAAAGAAGATGAAATCCAAAATTAAAGTTGGAAATGGGAAACCTTTAAGACATGGAATCCTATATGTTACAAGGACAAGAAGTTTTTAATTTTACCTTTCCCCCCCTTGACAGCAAGAGCAGATTCGATTGGTATCCTATGTGAGATTTTCCCCTTGATTTTTGCTGGTTTCAGAGAGGGAGCTGAAAACAAAATTAAAAAAGTAACCAAGTACTTAGATTAGGTATGTGAGATATTATCTTAATATTTTTTCTTTGATAACGTAAGACCTCCCAAGACATGAGACTAGCTCATAAATCTCACCACTCTGTCTCCCGCTTTTTTTTAAGATTCTCAGCTAGCGCGGTTCGAACCTAAGACATGAGACTAGCTCATAAATCTCAAGAGTCCTTGCTTTGCCAACTAGGCCACGCCTGCGGTGGTAATATTCTCTTAATATTGATTTGTGATTGTCGGTGATATTTTAATTAAAACTACACATTGATTTATATATATGGGTTTGAGGATTTTAAATATTATTAAGTCAAAATTTATTATAAAATATATTTGAATTCGTGTAAATTAAGTCAAAATATTTTCTAAAACAATTCTAATGAAAATGTTGAAAACATCATTTTTTCTGTTTTCGTATTTTCACTTAATTTTGTTTTTATTTTCCATAAATGATTTTCTAATTGTATGACCCCACTCATTTTCTTCAATGTTTTCTATATTCTAAAAAAATAAATATAACATTTTTTTAGAATTAAGCGGACTCTAGTTATTTTTATTTGTGAGCTCATTAAGTATCTCAATAGTTAAAGGTAGTTATTTTCTCTCTAAAGATCGTCTGTTCAAGTATTTACGTTTGCTGAGTGTGTATATGTTATTCATAATTAAAAAAATCTAAATAAATATTATCTTGTAATTATGTTAGATTATTAAAAAATTATTTTAATTTGCATAAAATAATATTCATATTTTAAGGAAATTGTCAATCAAGCGTTGTTCCAATTTCCATAGCTTAATGTGCAACTGAAAAATCTTTCTCCCTATTTCAATCTCTTCAATTGTCTCCATCACTCTAATTTTCAGTCCCGGGAATACAATTACCCATGAACTTCCGTACGCAAAAAAGGTGCACAACAAGGCTAAAGTATCAAATAAATGGAACTGACAAAATCCCAGAATTTCAACATCAAAGTGACCAAATTCTTCTCTCGGTGCTTCAAGGATGAAATTTCAGCTTGGATTTACACACTCCGAAATCTTTTAGTCTTAGGAACCTAGCAAAGAAATGAAGTGCTGAATGTGGTCAAAATTAGCAGCACTGACCTTATATTGCATTTTATTGGGTGTTTCTGTCAGATACTGAAGTGGGGCATGAGAGAAAAAAAATACTTGAACGAGAAAGAAAAGAAGAGTGATTTTGCTTGTACAGTGCACCAATCTTGCTGTTCCAGTAACTTGGTCATTGTTACAAAATTTTCTAACATGCTCCACCATGGAGAAAACCCCTTCATTCCACGTTTGATGGAAGGATTTGGGGGGTAAGGGACTAAACTGCTCTTTTAAGGTTGTTGCAGGATCCACTTTGTACTTAATTTAAACCATCATTAATCCTCTGATTTGCTCCATTTTTCTCTCTGATTGATTGATGATATGATAAAGAAATACAACGAATGTACCAATTTAAAGTCTTTCACTACTGGTGTGTTATATGATGAACAGTAGGAGGGTCCCTCTGTTGCACTGTTCTTCTACCTTTGCCAATCGCCACCTCTGCAACCCTATAACTCGTAGGCTTATTGTACAATTTGATGCCTATGGGGGATACCCCATTGTTTTATACCCTCTGAAAAAACCCAAAGAAACAGAAAAGAATACGAGAGCAGCCATGGAAGAGGACAGTGAGCTGAGAAGAGGGCCATGGACCCTTGCAAAGGACACTTTCTTAACCCATTACATTTCTCGTCATGGGGAAGGTCGTTGGAACATGTTGGCTAAATGTGAAGGTCTCAAGATAACTGGTAAAAGGTGGTTGAATTATTTAAAACCAGACATTAAGCGTGGAAACCTGACTCCCCAAGAGCAACTCTTGATTCTTGAACTCCATTCCATGTGGGGGAACAGGTAGTTTTCTTTGTAATCTGTTGAATTTAATGTACTTGTAGGGTTGCATGTTTTGAGTTTATTAATGGTCGGATAAATCGTTCTAGCCTAGGTGGTCAAAAATTGCACAGCACCTTCCGGGAAGAACAGACAACGAGATAAATGACTACTGAAGAACAAACAGGCACGCCAAAGCTCGGTTCCGTGTAAATTATCTGACCACACAGTCCCTTCATTTCCAACAGCAACGGACACTACTTCAAATCGTTTCTCGGAAAATTCAAGCTCGGTTCTCACCACCCAACAAAGCATTCATCCCCCGGTTTTCATGAACATTTCGGATCTAACTCTTGAACAAAGTTATTACAGTATCGACAGCTGCAGTACTGGTTATGAAATGGGGGTTTCAGCTTTGCATCCATGTCCGCTTCGGACTCCGTTGAAGGCAATTGGATGGGTAATGAGATGGATAATTTATGAAATATGTATGACATATAGCCATTGGAATGTATACTCTGTATGGCAATTCAAGCATTATAGTGTACTGTATATTGATTAATTCAAGCATTATAGTGTACTGTATATTGATTAAAGATTAGTGTCTTTTTCTTATTTGGCTATCATCATTAAATATATAATAATATTTGTTTAATTTTCTACTTGGAAATCAAATTGATTGCCCCTTGATCGTTCTCCCAGGCTAACTGAAAGATAGGAGGAGAAGAAATTCCAATGGTAATAATCAAT